TTCATTTTGATTAAAACTTGACCAAAGGCTACAACATACATCTATTTCTAGATATAGAAATAAATTTACATACGTAAATTTTTTAAAAAACTTACTAGCTCACAGGGGCGGACTGGCCATTTATGAGTCCTGGGGAATCCCAAAACAGCCAGTGCCAGTGTTCACAATGGAACATTAAGTAAATTTTGTTACAAATAATAAAAAAAAAAAAAGTTCTTTTCCTCTGAATGCCTAAACACACACACATTGGCACAAGCCAGTCCGTCCCATTCAACGTAACAGAACAGAGAGGGAGGGATGTATTTGGAAATGAGGTCAGTATCAATTCTTCTTGCACATTCCTCTGTCGCTGTCTAACCTTTAGAGAATCTTGCCGACACTCAGATTTACTCTCAGTGAGAGTAAATCCTAGACGGCAGGCAACACACACACACACACACACACACACACACACTCATGTGTGTGCAAAAGCAAAGTAATACCTTACACACACTCACACAAAGAGTCAATTTTCTGTCTGATTATCTTCAACACACACGGGACACAGGCAGAGCATCACACACACACACACACACACACACACACACACACACACACACACACACACACACACACACACACACACACACACACACACACACACACACACACACACACACACACACACTACTGTTCTTGCACTATCACTTATAAATGTGCATATGGAAGATTTCTTTAGTTGTCTCAGTTTTGCACAAATACATCATGCAGATTTGCATACAGAGAGAAAGAGAGAGAGAGAGAGAGAGAGAGAGAGAGAGAGAGAGAGAGAGAGAGAGAGAGAGAGAGAGAGAGAGAGAGAGAGAGAGAGAGAGAGAGAGAGAGAGAGAGAGAGAGAGAGAGAGAGAGAGAGAGAGAGATCTCCATCCCCCTGAACTTTTGGGATCTGTGGACATAAAGCTGACTGGATGTGACGTGAGGTGTGCAGATTCAGCAGAACTGTTTTTCTGCAGACGGTTGATGTGAACCTGCAGCAGCTGTCAGATCTCTGTCAAAAACTGTCACAGTGTTCTTTTTTCTTCAAGCTGTGCCTCTCACCTCACACACTCTCCACCCTGCCTCTCCCTACAGGAGTTGTCAAACCTCAGCCTCACCCTCTGTGTGGACCACAAAACAAAAAGAAAAAAAAGTGTCATTGCTGCACCAGATAGTTTTTTACAGTCCTTTTATTGACGACTAGATCATGTATTTAGTTGAGAGCCTGGGATGCTTTTATTTCACAGATAGTGTTTAACATTTTTGCAATGACTTTATTTTTGGGGTCACGTCATTGTCTTTTATATCTTTTGTAATGAGAATAGTTGGAGAAAAACTGTGTTAAAATCATATTTTGAGCAAAAAGCATTCAGGTGAAGGGAGTCAAGGAGATTAAATATATTAGATGCTGATCAGAATTGGTGGCGCATCTTTTTAAAATTAAAATAAACAGAGTTTGGAGGTTTCAGGCTTTATTTAGTCACATATAAGACACTGATAGACTGCACTTCAATAATTCTATCTTCCTTCATCTTCATCTCAAGAAACAGATAGAACTCATCGTATTGGCAGTGGCACCCCCAAGGGGTGGCCAGGGGTGGCCAGGGTCATCCCTAGAAAATTGCAAGCCACCCCACTGGCCACACCACACCAGTTTAATGTATCATATTAATTCTCCCACAAATGATAACTTCCTGTTCTTTAATCAGACATAAAACAAAGCCCAATAAAAACGAGTAAATATATAACCAGAATAAAGAAAGTATCTATGTTTCTTCTGCTCACCATTTTTAAAACAAAAGTTTAAATCTCTATAGTTTTTGTGAAGACAGCAATTAAAGTGTTTTTAAAAATTCTACAATAAAGTTTAAAATAACATTTCTCATAACTGTTTGAAATGTATTGTTCAGAATAAATTGTGTTCTATAAATATGAAGTGAGTTGGATGAATATTGTTCATTTTTATCATGAAAAAAATAAAGGAGCATACAATACATCGCCACATGCTAAACTCTCAGAGTCACCACATGGTCCAGTCTGGAGTGTCACCCCCATCATTTTCTCTGGCCCCATCTGGCCACCCCTATGAAAATGATCTGGGGACGCCACTGCTTATTGGTTGCACTGGACCAGTTCCAGAAGATTTACATTTTCTTGCTGTGTTTTTGCTACAAACATTTCCAGCTTTTAATAATAATTTCTTCTTGGAATATTTAGGATACAAAATCAAAATTTACATGGAAAACATTTTCATAACACAAATGGACTTTAAATAAAAATAAATGCAATATCTTTGTGATGTAAGGGTTTTTGCTTTTCTTTCTTCCTTGTTAGCATTAGGATTTATTTCCCTTTTAACAACAGTCGTGTCCCCACTATACAAGTTCCAGGAACTTTCTGGGAAGGGTAAATTGGCCGGGTCCTCTCAGCTGTTGTGTCTCCGTACAAAATCAGCCCTTTCAGGACTTTGCTAAGACGTCAGCACATCACAAACACTTCGGCAGTGAGTGATGTCACTGATCAGTGCCAAAAAAAAGTGTCCACGGACGTTAATAACATTAAATTTTTTATCCTGTCCATGTATGTCATAAATAAATCAAGTTGGAGGACCAGGAGAGTGGTTGTGATATGTAAAATGTGATGCTTTTTACAGTTTTCTGAGACACCAGGTCAGTGACCTAGTGGTATGACTGCATACCCTCAGACTAGAAGATTCTGGGTTCAAATCCATGGTCGGGTCATACCAAAGACTTTAAAAATGGAATCCAGTGTGACATTTAGTTGGACTTAAACTTCAACTTTAACAAATCCCCATGAATAGCATTTTCTACAGTAGCTTAAAATAGATTGTGACATATCATTCTGGGATGCAGTCAGACAAACAAGCAGGCATTTAATAATGTTTCCTATGGGTCTGAGTTGCTCCAGTCTGGCTAAAGTTCTCCTAAAGATGTTCTAACAGCAAGGAACTTAGCTCTGCTCCTGAGGGAGGTGCTAACTGGACTCTAGATAACCAGATTGGATGTCGGAGGAGACTTTTTAATCCCTTTTCCAAAGCTGGGTAACGTCCACCACCCCATGAAACAGCTGGAAAGGGAAACTGGCTACTCTAAAAAAGCAAAGTGATGGTAGTTTATATGTGGAAGAGCAGATTTTAGCTGTGGGGAGCAGATCAAGAAGAGCACGTATATTTGTTCTTTACATTTTCCCAGAGGGACAGGTCCTACATCCAAGAATGACCAGCCGGTCCTGGCAAGACGTGGAGTTAACAAGGAGGCAGAGGTTTAATGGAGGGGTCCTACCAAACTGCGTGTTTACCCAAACATGCAAGAAAAAGGCTTTTGACCAGAGGTGGGTGGTATTCAAAAAGTAGGGACAAAAATAACAACCTGAGAGTTATAAAACTACCTTGAGAAAATGTTACTTGAGCACTGTGAGTTACTTATTTTTATATTACTCAAGAAGAAGCAGTGATAGGAATAATGGCTTTCAAAGGAATACTATGCAACTTTTTTGTAATTAAAAAAACAATTTGAGCCAGTATATGCTAAAATGACCCTTTACAGGGTTAATGAAAGGTCATTCAGACCCCCCACCGCTGACCACTGGAGCTGACATACCTGGTGCTGCAGTCTGTTTCCAGCATGTTTCATGCATGATTTAGATCAGGGGTCGGGAACCTTTTTGGCTGAGAGAGAGTCATGAAAGCCAAATATTTTGAAATGTATTTCCCTGAGAGCCATATACATTTTTTAAACACTGAATACAACTAAATGCGTGTAATTTTAAATAAGACCAACATTTTCAGAGTGTAATATGTCTCTAATTATTTTTAATAACATTGATATTGTGAAGCAAACCAATTATAAATAAAGTACTGCTTACCATTAATGCAACTTCTGGTGCTGCATGGTTTTGCTGATGGCCTTGTAGTCGGGTTGATACGCGATAATAATAATAATAATAATAATAATAATACATTTTATTTCAAAGCACCTTTCAGGACACCAAAGGTCACTTTACACAAAACACGTAATAAAATACGATAAAACAATAATAAAACCCAAAGAAGAAAAAACAGAGAGAAACATTTCAATAAAATCAGAGGTTGTAGGCAGATTTAAACATGTGTGTTTTGAGTTTTGTTTTGAAAAGGGTAAAACTGTCGACGTTCCTGATGTCTGGGGGAAGTGAGTTCCAGAGTCGAGGAGCAGAGCGGCTGAAAGCTCTGCTCCCCATGGTAGCAAGACGGGCAGAAGGAACCGCAAGATGGATGGAAGAAGAAGATCTGAGTGAACGGGACGGGGTGTGAATACTTATGAGGTTAAGCGATGAGGTTAAGCTTCATGTAGGCGTTGAGGCTTCCATCCGTTAAACGCCATTGTAGGTTGGTTTTGATGTTTTTCAGATGTGAGAATGACTGCTCACATGCATGTATGGCATGATAAGTAAATTATACATATAAGTAGACAAAATAAATCTGAATAAATTAAAAATTCCATCAAGTAGCCTAGAAAAGTCAATAGTAATCCAACGTAATCTGTTTTCAATGGTACACCCTCTCTGCATTGACACTGAAGAGAGAGAAGATTTATCCAATATGGCGGCGACGCCGCCACGCTCTCCGGGGCCCAATGGGGTGTTTACAGATTCATGTCTATGGCAGCAGCAAGCAAGCTGACATTTGTTGGATGGTAGCCGTAAAGGACTGGAGTTGGTGACCTTTACCAGCTGTAGTTTTGCTCTCCGGTATCACCTGGGCGAGATGTTGACTTTTCTCTTTACATGGTCCAGTTCAGGAGAGGACTCAAACATTTGTCATCATTTACAGGAACTGATGTTTGTTCACCAGTTTGTTTTGGCAGATTTAAGCTTATGCAAATACCATTTAGGCAAGTAATGAGTAACAGAAAAGTATCATATTATCAAATAAAGTTATACTTATTATTTTATACCAGTTAATGAGACAAAAAAATCCATACCTGATTCAGTAAAATGATCGCATGACAGCTTTTATTACATGGTTCTGCATTTTGTTCAACTCTGACACTTTTTAACACCTGTTTTCATTTACTAAATACAGAGAAACAAAGTTAAGACAAATGATCTGAGTTTCAGACAGAAAACTAGTTTTTAACAGAGAGAGGGGGATGCTGTCGCAGAACAAAATATTTTATTCTTCCAGAAATTGAAGTGATAGGTACTCTTGAGTGTCATCTCCAAGGATAGACTTAAGGAAAGGAACCATTTTAAACAGATTAATGTGAAAATCTCTGGACTCAGCACTGGACTCAACCAGACTATGTGGATAGTGGCACAGATTGTGCGTCCCCCAGCTGACCACTCCAATCTGGAAAAATCAAACAAACAAACATGCTTTCAGTTATAAACAATACAAATATTGCTTAATTTTATTTCAGTAAACATTCACCACAACATCAAACTAGTGTCTGGTTACCTGTATGGTGCGATGCTGATAGGTCTTGAACACAGCGCCTCCACCATCACCTGTCACAGCAGATTCACACATGCAAGGTTACTAAACACAACCCTTGATGTTTTATTTGTTAAAATATTAAATATTAATATGGCAAAGAGATCACACCTGCGCAAGTAATGTGATCTCTGTGTTTATTCCAACCACCGGTGCACAGGAAGTTATCAGTCACAGCCACCTTTGGATCTTTAACTGTTATCTGTGACATATTCAGCACCTTTTGGATGCACGAGTCTCTCTGTGTTGGGTTAGAAAAATTGATACAACAAATTTAGTCTCGACACAAAAGTCTGGCATAAAAGTCTAAGAAAAAGAAAAAAAAACTCACACACTCTCCAAGCTTGGCAAAGGCAATTTTTTCAGCTACTAAGGGCGGATGTTTGGTCAGAAAACTGAGTCTTTCGAGATGTTTGTTTAACAAAAGCTCCTCTGTTAGATTAGCAGACAACAAACAACGTTGTTTTTTTTACAATAATGACTTGTTCATGACATGAAATGTACAAAGTATGTAAGAATCTCTAGCTACTCATCAGTGTTTGTGAAATAATCTGTGAGAATCTGCTGCAAAACACACATACATGGTCTTTGTGCAGAGTAAGTCAATGCTAAAGCCTGGTTTATGCTTCTCCGTCAGCTCTGCAAGGGACAGACACGCACAGATTGACGGAAGCGTTTTGCTCTCATACCATACTCTCATACTTCTCCGTCTCCTGAGGAGTGTTGCAAAGCAATTGCCCGGCAGGACAACAGAGGGCGTAGCACTGTTCTGTGGTATCCTGTCAGGTATCGGTCCAAGATCGTGTGTTTATATTGTGTTTTTTGTGTATATAAGAGACTTTTAACATGGACATATTTGTCTCTCATTCTCCTCCACCTCTTCATGCGCTCCCCACCTCTAAACCCACGTTTCCTGTCATTTCCGTCCACAAATAAAACGCTTGCTGCGCATCTTTTCACTCCTCCAGTCACGGGAGAATTAAACGTTCATATTTTTAGAGTTTTTTCGCGAGGTATTCTTCAAGCTTCTCCGTGTCTGCCGCTTGTTATCCTCGGCTCTCTTTACAATGGCGGCGCTGTAAACAACAGCGGCGTCCTGACCAATCACAAGCTTGCGTAATCCGTCTCGTTCGACGGATGTTTAAAAAAGTGGGCTCGACTCCGTACGTACTTGCGTGCCCTACGCATGGACGGATAATGGCGTTGCGTGTCTCTGCACTGACGCAGATGGAGAAGCATAAATCAGGCTTAAAGAGAGAGAGAGAGAGAGAGAGAGAGAGAGAGAGAGAGAGAGAGAGAGAGAGAGAGAGAGAGAGAGAGAGAGAGTTTGCATCACAGCTGGTGATGTGCTGTTATTTTATGTAAAGCAAGTTTCCTTATTTATACTTTTTAAACTACTTTGTTAATAATCGTTGGACCTCCTTGGAGGACTTGATGCACCTTGTTGCTTGCATGTTGATTTACCAACCAGCTTCAGAGCATCGCTTGTTCCTTGGGTACAAGGTATGCAAATGGGTCTGCAAAAATAGTTATGATTATGTTAAGAGATTAAGAGTTTCATTAAAGCAGAAATGTAAATATGTCATTAGTTCCATGTGTTAAATAAAGGAGTTGTTAGATACAAGCTTACCTCGTGGAAGCTGAGATTTGAACAGATTCCTCCAGTCGGATGAGAGCCACATCATAGTCATAAAATTGAGGAACTCCTTCTCTCTCTTTTGCTCTCGGATTAAAGTTCGGGTGTATCGTGAATTTTCGTACTTTTTTCTCTGTGAAAATAGAATCGTACAATAGCTGTTGCCACCAACACCTGAGCACATTTTATTATCAAAGTCAATTCAGAAATCTGTTTTAATTCAGTACTATAAAAGGAAAGTAAGATCTTTTGTGGTGGGTTTCTGTAGAAGGTTGGAAACACTTGGTGGTGGTTAGGAGCAATAAAGAGCTTTGATTGGATGGAGTAGCTGATGTGTAGCCCAAGTTGGACGGACGAGAAAGAGGACAATGGCCACAAGCTGCAGCTCTATTTGGCGATCAGTGGGAATCTGGATGTTCCCAGAGCATCCTGGAACATGAGAGGTGCTCTGGCATTCTTCTTTGTTGTTCCCCTCTCTTCCCACAAGTGCGTTATCAGTAGCTTGGGCTAGCGTTCTGCAGTTGACGTTATAAGACAAGATCAGATAAGATAAGATAAGATAAGATAAGATAAGATAAGATAAGATAAGATAAGATAAGATAAGATAAGATAAGATAAGATAAGATAAGATAAGATAAGATACCGTAAATATTTTTTGTCACTGTCATTGTTGCCAGGAATAAAGACATTGCAGTCAACTCACAAGCATGAAAAAAAAGATAAAACCAGAAAAAATATATTTACTTATTTGAAAAATAATGGGCTGTGCAGTGACGCAGTGGTTAGAGCTGTTGCCTTGCAGCAGGAAGGTCCTGGGTTCGCTTCCCAGCCTGGGATCTTTCTGCATGGAGTTTGCATGTTCTCCATGTACATGCGTGGGTTCTCTCCGGGTACTCCGGCTTCCTCCCACAGTCCAAAAACATGACTGTTAGGTTTATTGGTCTGTCTAAATTGTCCGTAGGTGTGAGTGTGTGCATGGTTGTTTGTCCTGTGTGTCTCTGTGTTGCCCTGCAATGGACTGGCTCTCTGTCCTACCCCGCCTACTTGCCCGTTGACTGCTGGAGATAGGCACCAGCGCCCCCTGCGACCCTACGAGGACAAGCGGGTTCAGAAGATGGATGGATGGATATTTGAAAAATATTATATAAAAGATTGCACTCTGTACTGTTAGTTGACCCGTGATCAATGTGCTCATCTGGATTGATCCTTGTGAGTTCAGAGCCACAAATGCTTTGGATTAAAGCTGTTCCTAAGACGGTTTGGCCTCGCTTTAATGGCTCTGTATCTTTTCACCGATGACAAAAGGTGGATGAGGCACTGCCCAGGGTGTGATGGGTTCAAATGTCTGTTGCTCCTCTGCAGCAACGGGAAATATAGATATCTTCCAGGGAGGGGAGGGTACAACCAATGTTCTCTCACTCTGTCACTCTTTCTATTTATGTATACCCTCTGCATTTATGTATATATATATATATATATATATATATATATATATATATATATATATATATATATATATATACATATATATATATATATATATATATATATATATATATATATATATATATATATATATATATATATATATAAGATAAGATTAGATAATCCTGTGGGAAATTTGCATTATCACAGCCGAAAGTGGACTAAAAGTTTGCCATTTTTTACCTGTACTGTCCACTTTCTGCCATGATAATGCAAATTTCCCACAGGATTATCTTATCTTATCTTATCTTATCTTATCTTATCTTATCTTATCTTATCTTATCTTATCTTATCTTATCATCTTATCTTATCTTATCTTATCTTATCTTCTTATAAGAACCAATCTCAGTTTCTCCGTGTGAGTAAGGCAATTTATAGAGCAGTTTCCTAAATTTGTTTCTGTGAAATTATAATCTGACCATAATAATGTACCAAGTGCGTTGAGGTATAACAGCCAACATAAGTCTATTCTTAGCCCATCAATGCACTACAAAATGCAACTGCAAACCAGGGCTCAAAGTCAACAACGAGATTCAGGGAAAAGCCATTCCACTCATATCCATGGCATAACTTTCAACAGATGAGGTTCTAGTGACCCAACATATCAGCAGACATATTTTTCCTCTGCCTGGTCTTGAACAACCTCTTCCTGTCTCATCCTTGGTCTGATATTGCCGTACATTTAACACCAGTCATTACCTCTGCTATGTGATCCGTCATCAATTTCAACAACCACATCTTTGGGTTCCAGAGAAAAGAGGCAGGCAGCACCAGTCAACACAAAGTCAGGTGACACCAGAGAGCCGAGGCATCTCATTCCCTTGGGAAGAGTCTGGTTATGAGCCAATCATTTTCCACAGTAAATATGCAGTTCAACACACTGAATATAAAAACAGATGATTTCAAGGCCTTGTTAACTGTAATAATATTCCACAAATGAGTTGAGTTTAATAAAATAACTTCACCTTTTTTAACACAAATGCTACCCATGGATATCTTCTCAGGCTGCTGGCTTTGTCCTGAGTGGCGTCAGATTCTTGGTAAAGACCACACAACTCTCCGACTTCATTTTCATCTGCATAGAAAACTCAAAATGTTAATAACAAAGTTGTAATTCTCCACAAAAATTACCTCAAAAAACTTTATATAAACAACTAATTTCATATCAGAATCCAGTCGGGTGAAGTCTGTTAAAATCAAATAAATGTAGTGAACTGTGTTGCCAGATTGGGTGGTTTTCTACACAATAAGGGGTTTTTGTTTAGAATTTTGCAGGTAAAATGAGCTTTGGATGGGCAGATATAATTTGGAGTCAATGTGGCGGTTTTAAGCTAGCGTCACTGAAACACATTTCAACCAATCTGTCATTATTCTAAGTTAATAGCCATGACCCATGACCTTTCTGCCAGGGAGTTCACAACAAAGAAATAAATGCCCCATTAAAGGAAACTGTAAAGGGAAATCTTGGACAAAACACACCTGTATCTAATGTTCTCCTCAAAAAATCTTTATTTGAAGTTCAAACTTGCATCCAAAATGCAAACGGAGGAGTGAACACTGATTTGCTCTGGTTACTGGCTAGTTGGACTGTAGATTACTGAATCATGCAGTTAAATTGCTGGGTGCAAAATGCTACTATCATGGTCAAACAATTAACATTCCAGTATTTTGATTGGGCCGGTTTTTCTTGTCGTGGTGGTTTTTGAAAGATTTTTTTGGTCTGGAAAACTGACTCTGAAGGCCCGTTTGTGATGTCTGAACTTCTGGGAGGGGAAATTGAGCGGGCGGGAGATACGATGTCTCCATACAAATTCAGCTCTTTCAGGACTTTGCACGAGCGTCAACATATCACAACTACTTTGGCAGTGAGTGATGTCACTGGTCAGTGCCAAAAAGGATAAATTATTCACAGTTGTATAGTGCCTTTCAGAGTTAGAGGACTCCAAAGCACCTTGCTCCACACTGTAATATTCATCCATTTACACACGCATTCAGATGCTGATGGTGATGAACTGCAAAAAGCATCTACAGTAACATTAAAAGTTTTAATCTGTCAAAGAACACCATCATTTAGTTCATTAGGAGGCTGAGAGCAGCTGTGTGATGTAAAACGTGGCATTCGGTGGCCAGAAGAAGCTTAATTTTTTATGGCGCTCTGTGAGAGAAACCCTGTGAAGGACGTTGTTGAGGGGGGAAGTTTTCTGGTGTTGGGAGTTCAGCAATTTTACAGCAGCGCAATCAGTGTTTATTTTCTTTTGCTTCCGTTCGGCTTCACAAGCAACTCTTCTAACTTTTCTAATGCTGCATGGTTGTTTTGGACAGCGTCTGCTGATGTAATTTCCTACTGTTTCAACCAGTCAGCGTGAGTTAGCCAAAAGTTCCACTCAGCAACTCAGCCGGGCCATTCGGAGTACCTACCCATCTTCAGATAATCAAAAAATTCCCCAAAACGCCATGGAAGTTGACATTTGACCCATACGGTGAAGTGGAGACACTAAGGGGAAATGTTGGTCTGAATTTTATGAAGCCAACGATGAAATGAAAAGTTGTGGTTGCAGTTCCACCCTCATCAGTCCGAAACGAACAAATTCTCATCGACTCCTATCTTAAAAATGCCAATCCCACAGCATTCATTCCAGAGCCATTTACCTGGCTCTTTCGAACAAAGCGGATGGAGCTTCGTTGGGGGCGAGGGTTAAGTCACGCTTCCTGGACGCTTACTGGAAAACAAGATTAACGCTTCTCTAGAAGGACTCAGCTCTCATTGTTGACTTATAAGATTGTTCAAAAGATTTGTTCCCTTCATGAACATCGCATCACTATCACGCAGGAGAAGCACGCCTTATCTGGCACAACTGGTGTTAGATCAGAAAACGGTATTAGTCAAAGTTGCATTACAGAAGAAACTTGCACAGCCCCCACCATGCTGTGCAAGTACAGCCCACAGCATCAAAATCGTCCATGAATAACTAAATGTGTTTCGTATCCAAAACAGCTTACCAATGAAGCGATCAAAGGCCTCTTCTAACCCAGAGAGGTTTTTCATCCGGAAGTAATGCTGGCCGCCTGTTCCTACAGTGAGGCGCTGCAGGTCATCGTCGAAGATGTCATCCCCGACACCGAAAACAAAAATGTCTGTAAATTAGTTTTGAAAGAAAGGATAGAATCATTATTTTTGACGAGGTACAAGTGCTTTACTGTAGATGTAAATGAAATGATAAATGTTACTGTGACTTTTTCTAAGGAAATCTCCATACAAATACACAAACTCACCGAGATATTCCTCTCTGAATTCATCGCTCATGTAAACCATGTCTTTTATTCTCGCTATAGCTGGTAAGGGAAGACTGCCCACGTTAAAAGCACCTGAAGTTAAAGTAGAAGTTGCTCTTTTACGTGTCTTCCACAGAGAAGCTTTATTTATATTATTTATTTAAACAACACACGATAAAGGTGGAGCAGCCCAAAAAGCACCAACAGCTTTGAGAAAAACACAATAGTAAGATCATCTGCTTAAATTTGTCACTGTCGCTGAGAAAAGTTAGGGTTAGGGATTTAAACGGTACCGTCTGAAAACAGGATCAGGACATGACGATGTTTTTTAAAACCCTCAATTCCAGCTTGCTGCTTTAGAAACGACATTCGTTCCTCAAAAGTTTGGAAAACCAGATTTAAGTTTGTGTTAAAGGTTTTGCCTGTAAAACAACACACACATACACACACACACACACACACACGCACATACACACACACACACATACAAACACACACACACACACACACACACACACACATACAAAAAACACACACACACACAAACACACACACACGCATACAAACACACACACACACATACAAACACACACACACACACACATACAAACACACACACACACATACACACACACAAACACACACACACACACACACACACACACACACACACACACACACACAAACACACACACATACAAACACACACACACACACACACACACACACACACACACACACACACATACAAACACACACACACACACACACACACACACACACACACATACAAACACACACACACACACACACAAACACACACACACACACGCATACAAACACACACACACACATACAAACACACACACACACACATACAAACACACACACACACACACAAACGGATTGAATGAAACCTTTCAACACCAACATCAGGCACTGTGTTCAGTAACTCTACACATATTTACGTCACTTACCACTTGTTTCAAATGTTTCCCAATCATGTATGATCTTTCTTAGATCCTCTCTCCCATCATAAAAATCTTGAATATTGGCAACTTCATAAACTTGGGAGGAGAAAAGGACAATCTCATAGTTTGATGAAACACCGAATCTGGCCATCTGTGGACACAAATCTCATATTAGGTGGTTGGGTGGAACAAGAGTGAAATCGTTGGTTACGTATTGTAACCCCAGATTCTATGAGTCTAGTCGCAGCCCTTAAGCGAGCTGCTATTGGAAGGATGATCTCCGCATCAGCCAATCATGAAGAGCTTAAATGTACGCCCACCAATAGTGGGCCCCCTCGTGGTATATAACCGCAGTGACCCCACTGCTCGCCTCCAATGGCTCTTATTCCATCATAACCAGTGGGGCCAAGTGGCTTAAGGGCTGCGACTAGACTCATAGAATCTGGGGTTACAATACGTAACCAACGTTCTATTTCGTCTAGTCTTAGCCCTTAAGCGAGCTGCTATTGGAATAAAGCGCAGCTGGATGGGTTTACGCCACACTGGTTAACACAACCAATGGACACACCCAATCAATCTCCTTTAGTGAGGGAGGTTCAGCCTCAGACCAGGCTTAAAGACTGAGGCAGCCACGATAAGAGAGGGGCCCCCACTAAAAAAACATCATCCACGAGAGGATGAAATCCATCTCAGCAAGGCCAATGAGGTGCCATAAGCATTCATTCAGCTTGCTGGGGTCCAAGCACTGAACGAGTGATGGAACCTGAAGACACATCTCGTAAATAATAACGAGTAAAGGAACAGGATGAAGCCCATGAAGCAGCCTGACAAATGTCTTCCATCGACACACCACTGTGGAGCGCCATCGAAGAGGAAATCCCCCTGGCTGAGTGAGCCCTGAGTGCCTCAGGGGAATCCTGCCCCGATGACGTGTAAGCGAGGGAAATGGCTTCACACAGCCAGTGCGAAAGACGCTGGGTCGACAGCGCCTGACCAAGGGAAGACTCCCTGTAGTGCACAAACAGATTTTGTGAACGACGAATCTCCGAAGTGCGTGACACATACCGTACAAGCGCGCGCACCGGGCAGAGAAGGTGAGAAGCCGCTTCCTCCTCAGAATTATGGGGAGGAGGAAAAAGTCCAGCCAATGAAATTGACCTGGATTTGAAGGAAGCATTAATGCTTTTGGGCACAAAGGCTGGATTGGGGCATAAAACAGCAGACCCGCCATCTTCCCGGATCCTGAGGCATGCGGGAGCCACTGAAAGGGCGGTCAGGTCACTCACTCTCTTAACTGATGCTAGCGCTAGCAGCAATGCAGTTTTAAGTGACAGGAACTTGAGTGAGACCTGGTCCAAGGGTTCAAATGGGGCTTTGGATAAGCCGTGCAGAACCACCGTTAGATCCCACTGGGGAAAAAGCGGGCGGGACACAGGTCTGTTCCTCCTGACACCTTTTAGAAAACGTTTTGTGAGGGGATGATTGAAAACAGATCTATCTCCAAACCCTTGGTGACAGGATGAGATAGCTGCAGCATATGTCTTAATAGTGCTGAAGGCGAGGCCCCTGTCCATCAGTACCTGCAGAAACGATAGGACATCCGCCAGCTGGCAGGAGAGCGCTTGAACATTCCGCTCTGTGCACCATTTCTGGAAAGCTGCCCATTTAGCAGCGTAAGACGCAATGGTAGAGGGCGCCCGCGCACTCTGAATCGTGGCGACCACATCATGCGGCAGCCCAGAAGCCTCTAAGCGTGACCGCTCAGCGGCCAGACCCACAACCGTTGGCCTATTTCCGGAGGATGTTTGATTATTCCATCCGCCTGGAGAAGGGCGTCCGCCCTCCACGGGAGCCTCCACGGGGAGCCGGACACTAGCGCTTGCAGGTCCGGAAACCATGACGCGGACAAGTGCCTGGGAGCCACCAGAATCACCGAGAGCCGTTCCGACCGAATTCGGTCTAAGAGACGGGGAATCAGAGGGACTGGTGGAAACGCATAAAGGAGCGCTCGAGGCCAGGGCTGGTGTGAGAAGGCGTCCGCCCAGAGCGGAGGTCCGTCCCGGGGACTCAGGGAAAACCACAGGCGACACTGAGCGTTTTCGCGAGCCGCAAACAGATCCACAGACGGTTCCCCGAACCTGATCCAGATCTGTGATATCAGTGCGGGATGCATACGCCAGTCGGAGTCGCGGGGTCCCCCTCTCGACAGGATGTCTGTCGCTACATTCAGGACCCCCGGAATGTAGATGGCTCTGATGGACAGCAGGTGGACATGTGTCCAACACAGTAAATCTGTGGCGACACGCAACAGAGGGAGGGATCGAACTCCCCCTTGGCGATTTATGTAGGCTGCCGCCACCTGGTTGTCTGTGTGAACTTCGACATGACGGCCCTCGAGAAGGGCAGCAAAGTGTCTGATCACATTCCTCACTGTCATAAGCTCCAACACATTTATGTGCTCGTGCGTGTGGGAGGGCCAACGATCTGCCACCGTATGGGACAAGCACGTGCCCCCCCACCCCGACAGTGACGCATCCGTAAACACAGATACGTGTGACGCAGGACGTCCGATGGGAACCCCGCGTGAGAGGATGCAGGGGTTCCCCCAGTGAGCGAGGTCCCCGCCCACTGAAGGGGGAATCCTCAACATATGTCTCTTCTGACGTATCGGGTGCACCCGGAGGCGGGTGAACCAACGTTGCAAGCGCCTCGTGTGCAGCAAGCCTAGCGGCACCACCGAATGGGCTGCGGACATCATGCCCAGGAGTTTCATGACTAACAGGGCTCTCACGATCTTGCGGGGTTGTACACAGGAGATCACCGTGGAGAGATCTGCCGCTCTTGCAGGCGACAAACGTGCTCTCATTAGGGAGGCGTCCAACTCCACCCCGAGATACACAATCGACTGGGATGGAAGAACGGAGCTCTTTTCCCAGTTTATAGAAAACCCCAGGGTCGACAGATGCTCTGTCAACCTCCTGGTTTGCTGTGACGCCTCGTCCTTGGACCGAGCGCACAGGAGAAGATCGTCCAAGTAAAATAAAACCCTCATTCCCTCCGTGCGCAGTGGCTGCAGCGCGGTCTCCAGACATTTGGAGAAGGTGCGCGGGGCTAGCGAGTAGCCGAAAGGGAGGCGATTGAACTGATATTGAACTCCCTTGAACGAAAAACGCAGAAACTTCCGGTGATTTGGAATTACTGGTATGTGGAAGTATGCGTCTTTCAGGTCGATTGACGTGAACCAATCCCCGGGGCGCACATATTCCAGGACTTGTCTCATCGTTAACATGCGGAAATGCATTACTGCTATGGAGCAGTTGAACAGGGACAGGTCGAGAACCGGTCTCATTCCTCCCGACTTCTTCGGTACTATGAAGTAGCGGGAGTAGAAGCCCGAGAGCTCTTGTCCGCGAGGGACTCGTGAAATAGCGTCCTTGGACAGAAGTTCCCGCAACTCCAGCTCTAGGGCCTGAGACTGTACTTGCGATGTGAACGTCGTTTCCACGATCCCGTTGAAGGGAGGTGGAGTGACCTGAAAATGAAGTGTGTGACCGCAATGAATGGTGTCCGAAATCCATTTGCTCATGATACAAAGGCGGCGCCACTCCTGCGCGCGTTCCGACAGTGGACGCGTGTGCGCGGTCACGTGAGCAACGACTGAGGGTTGTGCATGCGCCCTTACCGCCGTCGCCCGTACCAGAGAACTGGGGGCGACCCATGGAGGGCTGCGCTCGAAAGGGCGAGTGCGAAACAGCTGGAACAGGCTGGTCCGCACCGCGGAGCGTGGAGTCCGAGAGTGAAGGACGAGTGGGAGCCGAGCCTGTGCACGGGGGCGACAGAGTGCCAGCGGATGAAGCCGCGCACTGTGCCGCCGCGCGTGGTCGAGACAGCGACCTGACATCTCGCCCCACCCGACGATGTGGTGAGAGCTGGGAGAGTTGGGCCCGGCCGGATGCTGGGGCCGGAGCGCAAATGGAGCGCACCCTTACGGTTGGCCGTATATTATGACTGCCTGCAGGAACATGTATGCGTGCAGCAGTGCTTGGTGTGGGGAACATGTGTGAGAACTCGGCAGAGGATTCTGCGGAGGACTGTAGGATTGTGCTCTTTGAGTGACATGTTTTGGGTTTTATTTCAAAACCAACATCAACATCATTACAATCATGTACACACACATTCCCCCCAAAGAGTCACTTCCGTGGCTGCTTTTGGCGAGGCTCGTGCACCTGGGACTGCCAAGATGGCGTCTGCTGGCCCCGCCGGAACCGTTGCCCGCCATCTCGCTGGTCCCGCTGATGTGGAGCCGAAGCGGGAGGCCGGCACCGTGGAGCGGACGGTGCAGCTGGGCGTTTGAAGCTTCCGCGCCGTTCGTCCCGTCCTCTGGCAGAACGGCCGGAGTGCGAGGCTGACCGAGGGTGAACCAGGTCTCGTACCGTAGCCGATAGTTCGGCCGTCTTCTGAGCCCTCTCAATGACGCCCCTAAGATGGGGACCAAACAGAACATCGGTGGTGATGGGGCCGTCCAGCATCTCCCTTTGCAGATGTTCCGGAATGGAGGGCAGGGCCTTGAGCCAGATCGCTCGCTGGATGAGGGTCTGCCAGGCAGCGATGCGAGCAGAACCGGTGAGCACAGCAGCACACAAATTGAGGATAGCATCAGCAGTCTTAGTAATGACGGCTTTCGACTCCTCGGGGGCTTCCAGCTCCTCCATCATCCTCGAGACGCCGAAGGCAAGGAGGGCGATGTTATTCCCTGCAGCGCCGGTCTGAAAGGCACACTGATGTGCGCGGTCGGTGAGCCGCATCAGCAGCTGGTCATGTTTTGAAGCGGGAACAGCTCGCGGGCCAGCGAGGTGGTTCTTGGCGCCAAACAGCGAGGCCAAGTCCGGCTCTAGCGGAGGAACGGACGGCCAGCCTTGGTCGGAAAACCCCTCGACCTTGGTGATGGGCGCATAGGTGGAGACTGGTGCCTTGAGCTTGGCAGGCTCGGAGAAGGCGGCAGACCAGCAGCTCATAGCAGCGGGAAAGCGCGGCCAAATAGGGTCTGGACAGCGTGTCTGAGTTGCCCCGAAGATTCCCGCCAAATCATCCGCTTCAGGCGGGGCTGGTTCTGGCACAGCTAGCCCCTTGTGGGCTGCTGCCGCAGAAATGATGGCGGGCAGCTCCTGGAGCAGTGCTCTTACTGCTGGCAGGGAGGAGCGAGAAGCCACTGGGGCAGAAGGACCCGCTGGGCGGAGCTCATCGACCTCCGTTATGTCTAGGAGGGATGCCGCCTCGTCGTAGTTCTCGCTGTCGGTGACGTCATCCAGCCGGTTGAAGCCAGCCGGCTCCTGACCGGCGTCGAAGAAATCCAACGCCTTGTCCAGCGGGTACGAGTCAGCCACCGGAAATTCTTCGTCGGCGGCGGGAGTGAAGTACTCGACCCGGCGAATCTTCTCTGCCACGGGCAGAGCGGCACAGAACGGGCACGAGGCCTGCGGGGTCAAGGCCAGGCCAGCGTGGTGAGCCCCGAGACAGACCTCACATTTAGCGTGCAGGTCTCCGCTGGAAATGGAGCCCGACTGGCAGGTCGGGCAGGGTCTGGCGTCGCTGGACATGGCTGGTAAGTCTTCTCGGATAATCTTGCTCTTTCTGGATAAATTTGCTCTTTAAGAAGCTCTCAGCTTGGCATGAAGAGAAAAAGGAGGCGAGCAGTGGGGTCACTGCGGTTATATACCACGAGGGGGCCCACTATTGGTGGGCGTACATTTAAGCTCTTCATGATTGGCTGATGCGGAGATCATCCTTCCAATAGCAGCTCGCTTAAGGGCTAAGACTAGAGGAAATAGAAGCTATGTTAATTCAACAAATCACACATTCTTGATTGGTTATTTTTTATTTTATTATTTGTAGGGATGCAACGATACCACTTTTTTTCCCAAACCGATACAATACCGATACTTGAATCTGAGTACTCGATGACACCAATTACCGATACCGATACTTCTACCACACAAAAAATGCTTTGAATTGGAATACAGGTTTTATTTTCTTCTCTGCTTTCAACAGGAAAAGACCGTGAGGTAGATAAAAAGTCAAATATATGAGTAGAAATGATCACAAAACTAAAATATTAGGTGAACTCAAATGACAAGTTACAGTGAAGCTACTTTCAAGTAACTGCATTGGCATCGGTTCCTGGTATCGGTTAACTTTTACCGATACTAGTATCGGTATCAGTGCATCCCTAATTATTTGTTTGGGTCATTGATGAATTTATTAGCAGAAAGTGTTTGTAGAGATGTGGTTTGACAGCGAGCCAAGGACCAATGCCAAGAAGAATCAGTCATATGGAATTAACGTCTAATGAGCTATTTGGTTTAAATAGTGTTGGTGTGATCTGCAGTCTGGTCAATATGCCTTTAAAATGTTATCAAACAAGTTCATGCAGAGTTAAAGTCCACCACATTTCCAGTTGGTCACTAATTTAGGAAATAAAAACACCTTTTTGATGAGTGTTTTGACAGCATGTCGTGCATTTACAATGCTTTCATTGCCCATGCTCTCAGAAATGTCCACAGCAATGTAGATGTTGAGTGCCCAATTTCTGGAGATGATAATCTTCCTTCCATCTTGTGGTTCATCTGAGTAACGAAACACTGTTATTGAATCATTACTTTTATGTACCAGATTTGTGGTTTTTGTGTTTCTACAAAGAGAATTTGTTTAAAGTTACTATACATCATTCCTCTTCTTTTCATTTGTAGACAAACAATAACACATCATATAGAACCATAGTGATGAGATGTGCTCTATTTATAATGAACAGAAACATACCCAGCGACTCCGTCACAGAGATGGTGTTTACTATTTGTTTTCCAAAAGCTTGGGCTACATCCAGTGGCGTATCATAAGTGTATTTGACTGCAAGATAAAGAGTTACCAAATAAACAAACAAACAATTGAAACATTATGAATGCAGTGAACACTGGGGATGTGAATCCCCACCACTGAGACCATTTTGCATCCCGATAGGACATCAGCGATACAACACTTTAGCAAATACCATTTGATGCCATTCATCCCTGCTGACACTTTTGTAGTGATTTGACAACAATTTTGGGATTGATCTAATTTCATGATGCAATTTGAAATGATTCACAACATTACAAAGGTTTTACAAGCCCACATCTGTGATTTAGCCATCAGTTGTGCAATTGGACTGTTACTATCATGAAAAAACTGGTGATTCTCTCCATCCCTGATAAACACCACCAGAAATTGGTCAGTGATGCATCACTAAACTTGTTATACGGCTCTTCCTAAAACAAATGCTCTTTTGTTTCAAATTATATAAACTCAATTATCACAAAAAATTTTCAGGTATACAAAAATCATTAATCACAAATGGAGGAAAAACCTAATATGGAGTGTAAAGGCCAGAATGTACTTATTTTTAATTATGCATACACGTGTTTATCATGGCTGCCTCAGGTAATTGGAGTCCTCTTGAAGCGCTGCTTGTGCGCATCCTCTGAAATTAATGTGACATGCTTGTAAGATGCAATATGTGAGTAACCAGTAGGAGGAGTTTACAAAACAAGCAAAACATTCTCTCCATTTTCGCACCATCCATAGGGAGCCTAAGTCTCTGCCCTTTCCGGTCAGCTCATGGGTCCCCGGAAGAACGAAAAAATGAATGCAAGTCAGTGGGGCTAAAAACGCTATTTTCTAATTCGATTTGCTTTACGTCCTGGATCGCACATTTGTTGTACTGCAATTTAAATGAATGATTGGTGTTTCGACCACGTCAGTCACATACTTTGAGATTTATTAGCTTGTAAAAGTTCATAATTAGCATGACTACACACCAGAATTCGGCACGTCACATATGTGACATCACCACATAATCTCCTCTCCCCTAGCGTAGCTGCTACTTACCAAATGACCTGATTTATGGTGGTTCTTTCCCCCTGTGGGAGGTTTGCTGAACTTACAGCCCTTTTCTCTCAGTTTTCTCCGTGTCATCATTTTCTCTTCCGGCTCTTGGAGAGTATAGACACTTTTTTCTCCTCTCCCTCCCTCTTATTCGAAGGCTCTTTGTCCTGTCTTGTGTGCACTGTGCTTCTGCATTTTTTTCTGGAAACTGGAAATTATTAAAAATGTGTCTGGTCAGCTGGTCACTCAACGCGATTGACAAAATTTTTTCAACAATGAGAACGGGAGAAGGGGCTCCCGATTGCCCCTCTGGGACAGAGCCATCTGGGTATATCATGGACTCCTGGAAACAGTGGAACCTGATCTGCCTCTCTCAACTGTCTAGAGGATTCTGAAGATGTCTGGATATTTGTGGTTTTGGTGTCAGGATTCCTGCTGTTTGGCCTGAGCGGTTACCTGGTTTACTGGAAAATTAACGAGCTTTCGAGGAATAATGGCCTAATCCCGGAGCTCACGGATGGAAAGTATCGCACTGTGAACGCACAAACTCATATAATTGTCGAGAAGAGTCGTAAGCTTGGAACTTTGATCGAGATTCAGGCTCTGACACAGAAGGTGGATTCCATCAAGGACAGAGTTGTGGATGGATCATTACAGATTGGGATAGATTAATTACGCCATTATTGGATCTAGAGGTGTTGATGACCAACAGAACTTTAAGACAGAGAGGAAATGATCTCTGTCTGTCCCCAAAATAATCCTTCTCTGAATCTGGTGCCCTTGAGCCTGTAAGGCTGAAGTAAAAACTCCCCCCTCAGAAGAAATGTGGAATGCTGCCATTGCTTGGCAACTCTTTCTCCCTCACCCAGCCTGGGCGGGATTGTGACCAGTGAAGGCTGTGGAACCGTATCTAGGAGTCACTGTGCTCTCCAACTAATTAATCTCCCTCTCCTGTCCAAAGGAAGGTGATAAGCGCTGCTCCATGCGGCTGCACGCACCGAAGTGAGGAGAATCCCAACCCTACCTCCCCACCTAGTGGACACTTATGTTGTGTAATGTCTGAAGTGTGTGCATATCTGTCTGAGGTGTTTTTTTGCATAGCAAAACTACCCTCTCGGGTGAGGGTAACTCTGAAGTGCCTTTTTTCCCTACCCCCGACTCTATCCTCATATAAACCCTTTTGATATATTACGGTAGCGCAACTCGGGTTGCGAATGACCACAGTCACCAATTCTTGTCATGTATGTATGTATGTATGTATGTATGATCTCAAAATTGTGTGTACTGAAACTCTAATTTCCCTCTGGGATTAATAAAGTATTATTGAATTGAAATGAATTGAATGATGTCCCTTTCATGAAGCGCATTTGTAGTTCTGGATTTATTTTCACACAAAACCTAAAATAGTGTTTCCCCCTGTTCGAATATAAGCGCGTTCTTGGTATCAAAATGTGTATTTAAAATTCACGGACATCATAAGAGAAATCCATGGAACATAGCAAGCGGAATTAGAAAATAGCGTTTTTAGCCCCATTGATTTATATCAATTTTTGTCGTTCTTCCAGGGACCCGTGATCTGGAAGTAGATGGGCATGACTTAGGCTCGCTACGGTTTAGTGCAGTGATCCTCAATAGGCGGCCCCCGAACCCTATGTGCATTACACTACTCCGTCTGCATCGGTGTGGAGACACGCAACGCCATAATGCGTCGGCACAAGGACTCTCCGACGGGCTCACAGAGGGTGACGGAGACATGCCCAAACTTTTAAACATCTGTCAAAAGTGATGGAGACTGCAAGCTTGTGATTGGTTAGGACGCCGCTTCCTGTATATTTGTCACCAGCACTGCTGATGCCCCGTTAAAAAGTAAACAGATATTTAGCGGCAGACCCAGAACAGATTGAAAGTCCAACAATATTAACATTTATTCACCCATGACTGAAGGAGTACAAAATACAAAGCAAACGTGGACGTAAAGGATGGAAAATGTTGGTTTAGAGGTGGCGACCACATTAGGAGGTGGAGGAGAACGAAGGACAAATTTGTCCGTGATATAAAGTCTCTGACATACATAAACACATTAGTAAATACGTTATTGGGGACCGGATACACGAGTGTTATGGTGGCAGGATACCACAGAACAGCGCTACGCCCTCTGTTGTCCTGGCGGGGAATTGATTTACAACACTCCGGTGCCTGAACAGAAGTTCGAATGTGAAAACCTTTCCGACACTCCGTGTGCGTCTCTCCGTTGCGGAGCTCAAGGAGAAGTATAAACCAGGCTTTAACCAACAGTTCCGCTCAGCAACTCCACCAGGCTGTTCCAAGCAACCATCAGGTATTCAGAAGGTTCCTGGAAAACGGTTGTTTGGCCAACCCAGTCAAGTAGAGACTTGGAAATGCCGCAAAGGTCCTGTAAATGTACTCTGATGTTCTGAGAGCAGGAACGCACCTATAGTGAAATTCAGGCTCTAAGTGCTAATCAGCTAATTAATCCAAAACATCAGTAGAGGGTTCCAAAGCCTTTAAATGGTCTCTCAGTCTATATGAGTTACTACATAAAGTGACATTTGCATCATAGTTTTTCAAGCTTCGCCAGTGTTCAGACTTGTGATTAAACGGTAATCTCTGTAAAAGATTATCTTTGTGTCGGTCTTACAGTAGCACGCTGGTTCCTGACCCGTCCACCAGCCGTTCTCTTGACAAACTCTTTCACTGGAGCCCACCAGGAACATGTTTTCATTGCAGGTATATTTGACTCTGCTATTATTCCCAAACCAATTTCCTATTCTTGAGGCACCAGGTGGAATACCAGGATCGGAGCAGACGCTTTCAACTGTGAAAGACAAAACGGGTTGGATTCTTTCTGTGGTTCTGCACCCATGAGAAAAAATGTCTTTGGCCATCATGAACATTCAGGGCAAAGAGCTCTAATGTGCACAGATATTTAGGCCAGTTAGTACACAGAACATGCAGGTTGAGAGCGTGTCTTTATGCAGCCTTGGGCATCAGGCCTAATCCAGGCTGATGCTTCGTTAGTATAAGTGTTTCTAAAACTATATGATTATGTTAAATTTCAAACTTTCTCCATGTTATTTACAGTCACGGCTGCAGATGGGAGTCAAGCCGCTCCATTTCCCGTTTGGTAAGCAGATCCGGCTGGATGAACCCCGCATCATAAATCCTGTGAAACACTTATATGTGGTCTGATTGCCCACATAGAACCTCTCCTGAGGAGGGAAGATGTTTCCATTCTCCAGTGCATATGGGTCTGGGCATTCAATGGCTGCAGGACACAAAAAAAGAAAACTGAGTCTGAGCAGACTGGATTAGGATCAGATTAACTGGTAAAAAATAATTGCTCTGACTTTTGATGGTTCTCAAACAGGACACCCTGAGGAGAAGTGCAAAACTTCACTTTGGGGTTTATTTTCACTCACGTTTGCACGTCTGCTCTAAAAATCTTTTGGGTGCAGGTCTCCAGAATCCATTAGGCTGACATACGCGGGTCAAAGTGGGATATGGGTAATGTCCTTCAGGACAGCTGTAGACCAGCATGCTGCCTTTCATCAGGTTCTTGGTCAGTTTATAAGTACCACCGTTTATTTGCATGTTCTGCACTGTGCAGTCACACAGAACCTCAACCCCTGAAACAAGATGGTTGTGATAGCAGCCCACAACATCAACATTTTAAATTAAAACTTTCCCTCTAACCATTATTTTTCGGTTAAATACAAACAATAAATCAGTGTGCTGGTAAAGATCTTCAAATCTATTAAATATATTATTTTCAAACATTTGCTGTGTTAAAAACTGGATTTTATTGTATTACTTTTAAGATAAATGTAGTGAGATAGATTGATAAAATACATTGTACAATAATGTAGATTAACATAACATCATTAAAAAACTACAGTAAACATGATTATTTTCTTGTGGAAGTTTAGATTTTATAAATAGTTTTCCTGTTTAGTAAAGTTTCTCACCCAGACCAAGAAGACATAAGAGAGCCACAAACCAGTCCCCAGAGATTCTCATGTTTAACCTAAAAGATAAAACAGCTTGAAAATGAGATAAAATTCAAAGATACTTTGTTAATCCCAGAAGGAAACTGTGAGAGCAGAAGATTTAAATCAGAGAGGGACGGTGTTGTCCAGAGACGAGGACAGGTCAAAGATCATTTGGTTATTCAGTAACTTAGAATTGATACGCGTGTCCAAAAAATGTAAAATTTGAAGGAACCTGATTAAAACTTTTATCTAAAGATTGAAAAACAAAATTTCCTCCTAAGTAAGACAACTATAACTTTAATTAGTGCGTGAATGTTTCTCTGTTGACTCTAAATCCAGTTTTTTCCTCTGGGTGTGTGAACACAACCACATGTATGGAGCCCAGACAGGGCCAGCATGTGTGGATGAATAAAAGCTGAAACTGAATGTCAGATTTTCACCTCATTCATCGTACTCAATGGGGACGATGATGCATGTGGGAAAATGTGTGCACGTTGTCCCACTTAAAAAGATGTCATCTACACTTCAACTGTGAGAGACAGAGTGTATCCAGGAAATCGTATTGTACGGTATTTCAAGAGTTTCCTTAGTTATTCTGGTGCACTACGATCGATTGGCAGGTTGCTGTTGGCTGGCTGTTTATCTGGTAGATCTTAGGGGAGTTGCTTAAAACAGCTCTAGGTTTTCCTTCCATCGTTCCCTCTGTCCCTGTTCAAGTATCACATTCCCACACTTATCTTTCACCAGACTTGGTCGGTTACTTTCCAGAGAGTTTTTGGTAGCGTACAGGTTTTCCATGTTTCCCTGGTGAACCACTTCCTCTGCCCTGTTGCCTTTATTGTCTCTAGGTCCTTTTATCAGCTTCTCTTGACTCTCCTGTCGGCTTTTCCACACTCCTCTGCTCCCTGGCCTTGCTGTTCTCGTACGGCTGCTGTTGATTATTGTTTCCAATTTCTCTCCTCTATCATCTACAGCATTCCTGTTGTAATCCATTCCTTATATGTATGTGCCTTTGGATGAAACACCTCTTGGCACAACAGTTTCCTTCACTTTTTGTCAGTTCTTATCAACGGGCCCATCCTCTGTTAGATCTTGTAGGGTCTGAAACTTATTGTAGAGCCTGAACTCCTCCAGTTTGTCAGAATTCCTCAAGAACGTGGCGTGAGAAACTGAGTGCAGTGAATAATTTGTACAGACCGATCGGAAGATCCAGTAACTGAAACAACAACTGGTGTACCGGTAATTATTCCTGGATGTCAAGACGTCAAAAGAACATATTACGTTTTGGTGTCTGTGAGGTGACCTGATTGTTCCATACATTCCTAACCGAGCACTTCGCTCTCAGACTTCAGGTTTACTGGTGGTTCCCAGAATATCCAAAAAATAGGATGGGAGGCCGATCTTTTAGCTATCAGGCTCCTCTCTTGTGGGACCAACTCCCAGCTTTAGTCCATGAGGCAGACACCTTGTCTACTTTCAAGACTAGGCTTAAAACATTTTTATTTGATAGGGCCTATGGTTAAAATCTGATGTTAGCCTAGATCTGGACAAGTGGGGGAGTAAAGGAAGGTGGAGTGTACAGTCGGTAAATACGGCTCTCCCTTGCCTCCAACATGCCTCCATCTAAAAGGCTAGGTTATCCAGAGTTATCTCTGTAGTTAGGCTTAGACTGCTGGAGGACATACTGTGTCTGCTCTGTCTTCTTGATCCCCAGTGAGTCATGGTGGATGGCTGCTTATACTGATCCAGGATCCTCTGGAGGTTTCTTCCTGTTAAAAGGGAGTTTTCCTCTCTACTGTTGCTAATGCTTACTTAGTATGAGGATTGCTGTAGAGTCACTCCTTCCTTATATAGGAGACTTTTTTCCGATTGGCTTAATGAACTGACCTGTATTGGAATGTTTACTATGTGAAGTGCCTTGAGACGACTCTTGTCATAATTTGGCGCTATATAAATAAACTTGAATTGAATTGAATTGAATTGAATAGAAATGTGTGCTCAACTATAGATTTTCAAAATTAATAATATGTAAAGATGAACATTCTGCATTGTTGAGCATTGGCAGAAGTACAAGTCATCACCAATTAAAGCTTCAATAAGAAGAAAGCTAAAACGTGTCGGATGGTTGTTGAGTTCAATTTAACCTTTACCGACTGCAGTTTTGCTCTCCGGTCTCACCTGGGTGAGATGTTGACTTTTCTCTGCACATGGTCCAGTTCAGGAGAGGACTCAAACATTTGTCATCATTTACAGGAACTGATGTTTGTTCGCCAGTTTGTTTTGGCAGATTTAAGCTTATGCAATACCATTTATGCAGGTAAATTAAAGTTTCACAAAAAAGAGTCAGAAAAAAATCACATGCTATTTAAACACATGAAGTTTAAAAAAATGCTTGTTATTAAGCTTATTTTATACCAATTATTGTTAATGAGACAAAAACTACAAGATAAATTCAGTAAAATGATCACCCAGTCAGCTTTAATTAAATGATTCTGCATTTTGTTCAACTTGGTCACTTTTTAACAACTTTTTTTGTTTACTAAATTGAGCATGAGGTCAAAATCTGAACAGGAAGAGAAAAATCATCTGATTTCAGCCAGAATACTAGTTTTTAAGAGAGAAAGAGACAAAAAGAGAGGGAGAGCTCTGCAGCAGACATAGTGTTTTTATTCTTCCAGAAATTTAAGTGGTACGTAGTCTTGATTGTCATCTCCAAGGACAGACTTAAAGAAATCCACCATTTTAAACAGATTAACGTGAAAATCTCTGGAATCTTCATTGGACTCAATCAAACCGCCAGTGGCGGAGCCACACAGGTCGTGGGTCCCCCAGCTGACCACGCCAATCTGTGAAAAACATTTTTGCAATAACACATTTTTTTACTTAACCCATATCTTAACATTTTGCATCATTTTAAAACGGATTTACCTGAATTGTGCGAAGCTCGTAGTTCTTGAAGACAGCACCTCCAGAATCACCTGTCCCAGCAAATTCACACATTCAGGGTTATTAAACCGATCTATTGTTGTTTATTTGGAAACAAATAAGCTGCTTTTAAAATACACACTATGGCAGAAAATCAGTGTAAAACTGCAGCTAAGGTGTGTCCTTTGAAAGTGTGGTGGTGGCAGAATATTGCAGCATTCTTGCCGCCTAGCTTGATGGCGGATTTCTAAATGAAGATTGCGTCTTTGCGCAACAGATGATGATGTCATGATCATGTGCAGAATGTCCGCCAAGCCTCAGGCAGCAACAATACTGAAAATGCAGATAAACATATGGAGTCCCTTTGACATTTGTAAACGGTATCAGCAGAGATGTCAAACTGGAGTGATGCAGAGATCTGGGAGCTTACTCTTGTTAGAGCTTAAGTACAGATTCACAGGGACTGTGGAGGACAGACACCTGTTGGAGCGACGCACCCAAAAACTTAAAGTGTCAGTCTCCACCTGACTGCAGTCTGACTCCACCCACACTTCCTGTTTGCAAAATGCACCAAAAGGAGGCTTCACCTGGCAGACCGAGAAAACACACCACTGTGTGCTCTTGGAGTTTTGGAGAACCTAAGCATCAACAAGCGTGTGTGAGTGTGCACACACACACAACCTGCTCAGTTGGAGGAACACAGAAACATCAGCATGATAGAAGATTTTCTCTCCACCTCATTCAAAAGAAGAAAGGGAGGCAATCTTTTTTTTTGAAAGAGGCAAGCAGCTCTGAGCCGTGTCGTTTCAAAATGCACATGCGTGGCCGAGCCAACTGGAGGCGTGGCGGAGACCCGGCTGCAGTCCAGTGCAGTGCAGCCATGTAATATGGCGCTGACAACATCACTGGCTGGCTCTCAGCCAATAGCTATAGCAGATTCAAATTCATTGTCGTGCAAAGTTTTAACCCACAGAGGCTGCAACAATGATGATTTAGGCAGAATTTTTACATTTTTAATAAGATGTACTAGAATTCCAAAGTTATTTCTACACACATCTACAGCACTATTGACCCGCAGGCTCTGCAGAAGCCTGTTAATTGTCATGAACTCCTCCTCTTAACCTCCTCTGCGGGCCTGGCTGGCACTGCACTCCAGTTCCCAGCATCCCTGTCACCGACGCTTCCCGGTGACGTCATCCCGCTGAGCCTATTTAAGGACCTGTCACAGCTGAGCCGGCACTCAGTCATCATCTCACGATAGACGCCAACCTATTCTAAAATGACTAAGCCTAATCTGCCAACTCTAAAGACCATCCGGGAAGAGAACTTCCCACGCTGTAATCAGTCACGACCAAACACCAGTCTCTCCGCGCCTGGGTCTCCAAGCCACACTCCAGCTCAGCCGATCGCACCTGACAGGATGACTGAGTCTCGAGTAGACCCAGCGGAGATCGCACAGCTGCGAGCAGACGTTGCACAGCTGCTCAGCCGTATAGAACGCCAAGAGGCGGAAAACGCCCAACTTCGAATAGAGAACAACCAGCTTCGTGCTGTTACTGATCGCCAAGCATCCAAATTAGATTCTGTCACCGAACTGGTCGTCCAACTCTCCTCGGCACTCCAACGTCAGGCATCTGCCACTTCTAACACTGTGGAGCCGTTTCTAAGTCTCCCCGACAAATGGGATGGGATTAAAGGAACCCCGGAGGGCATGTTGGCCGTCCTGTCAATGACTTTCGAGTGTCAGCCGGCACGCTACCAGACTTCCTGCTCGTGCGTTGCCCTGTTAACCTCCCTGCTGACGGGGCGAGCCGGTGAATGGGCGGCTGCCCTGTACAACCAGAAGTCTCCCGTGTGCAACGATTATGAAACCTTTGTGAAGGAACTGAAGAAGGCATTTGTGCATCCCAGCAGCGAGGTCGCAGACGAGACACGCCTGCTCCAGCTTCGGCAGGGCTCTCAGACCGTGGCCGAGTATACGTCACGCTTCCGAACCACCGCTGCCCCTCTGACCTGGGGTGATGCCGCGGTGAAGGCTGTGTACTTGGAGGGATTGTCACCTCGCATCCGGGAGGGCATGATCGGACACGAGGCCCCGACCTCCCTGGACCAGGCTGTGGACCTGGCTCTCCAGCTGGATCGCTGCCTTCTCACCAGACCAGGAGCGAGGGCGGTTCCCATACAACCCAGAACGTTCCCCCGCCGTCAGGAGAACCAATCCACGTAGGAACCATGCAACTGGGTCATTTGCCCCCCGAGGAACGGGCGCGACGTTTTCGGGAGGGACGATGCGCCTATTGTGGGGATCTGGGCCATCCCCGGGCAACATGCCCCATACGCCCGGGAAACGGTTCCTCCGGGTCGGTGTAGGAGCAGTCTCACCCAGAGCCTCCATTCAAGCAGCTCCTCATCACACCACCCTCCCGGTCTCCTTCCAGCTGAGCCAAGGACCGGTCCCCCTGGTGGCTCTCCTCGACACTGGAGCTGCAGAAAGCTTTATCGACCAGGGGTTGGTCAACCGGCTCAAGATTCCACTCACTCTCCTCGATCACCCCGTTCCTGTCACTTCAGTGGACGGTCGCCCTCTCATGCCATATCCTATCACGCACCGAACCCAGAACCTCCGGATGACCATCGGAGAACACATAGAGACCCTTCATTTCTTGGTCATTCTCGCCCCCACGACTCCTCTCATTCTGGGTCATTCCTGGTTCCGCCTCCACGACCCTCACATCTCCTGGTCCACCGGTAAAGTCATGGCGTGGGGTGTTAACTGTCGCCTTCATCATCCGTCTCCAGGATCACAGTCTAGGGAGACACCACCCAAGGATGTGGATTTAACACTCCTTCCAGGATCACAGCCTAGGGAGACACCACCCAAGGATGTGGATTTAACACTCCTTCCACCCCAATACCACGATCTGGCTCGGGTCTTTGCAAAGGAGCCTACCACCAAGCTGCCTCCTCATCGCCCCTACGATCTGGAGATCAGGCTACAGCCCGGAACCACCCCGCCTCGGGGTCGGCTGTTCTCGCTCTCCCCGGCAGAGACCCAGGCGATGGACGCTTATATCAACGAGGCTCTCCGGAAGGGGTTTATCCGACATTCCACATCTCCTGGGGCGGCAGGGTTCTTCTTTGTGAAGAAGAAGGAGGGTGACCTCCGGCCCTGTATAGACTGTCGTGGGTTGCATAAGATCATCATCAGGGACCGCCATCCTCTCCCTTTATTGAGCACGGCTTTGGACGCCACCGCCCAAGCCACACTGTTTACCAAGCTGGACCTCCGCAGTGCATACAACCTCATCCGCATAAAGGAGGGGGAGGAGTGGAAACCGCTTTTATTACACCCACTGGACATTATGAGTACCTGGTCATGCCCTTCGGCCTCTGCAACAGCCCTGCCGTCTTTCAGCGTTTCATCACCGATGTCCTCCGTGACATGCTGGGTCGTTGGGTTTTTGTTTACTTAGACGACATCCTCATCTACTCCCGCACGGCCGAGGAACACACCCAGCATGTTCGAGCCATTCTGTCACGCCTCCTGGAGCACGACTTATTCTGTAAACTGGAGAAGTGTGCCTTCCACCAGGAGTCCACCTCGTTTCTGGGATTCATCATCTCCTCCCAGGGCCTGCGCATGGACCCACAGAAGGTTCAGGCGGTCGCACAGTGGCCACTACCAAAGACCCTGAAGCAGTTGCAGAGTTTCCTGGGGTTCTGCAACTTCTACCGCCGGTTTATCTGCAATTTCAGCGCCCTGGCGTCACCATTAACTTCCCTGACTAAAACAACCAATCAGCCTCGCCCTTTTCGCCTCTCCCCGGAGGCCGTTGCTGCCTTCCATGAGCTGGTCCGCCGCTTTGTAAGCGAGCCCATCCTCCTCCACCCGGACCTAACACGGCCTTTCGTTGTGGAGGTGGACGCCTCTGAGACGGGCGCGGGAGCCGTACTGTCACAACGTGGCCAGGACTCCAAACTCCATCCCTGCGCATTCTTTTCCCGGAAGTTCTCTCCTACTCAGCAGCTATGGGGTCAGGAACCGGGAACTGTTGGCGATAAAGTGGGCCCTGGAGGAGTGGCAACAGTGGCTCCTGGGTACACCCACTCCTTTTCTAATCTGGACTGATCATCAGAACCTCATCCATATTCAGACCGCTCGCCAACTCAACCCTCGTCAGGCCCGGTGGGCCCTCTTTTTCGAACCTTATAACTTTCACATCGCCTACTGCCCCGGCTCAAAGAACCTCAAGGCGGACGCCCTGTCCCGTCAACACACCCAGGATCCAAGGCCTCCTGAACCGAGGTCCATCCTCCCGACCGAACGGTTCTTGGCCGCCCTGCAATGGCCCCTGGAAGCCTCCATCCGGGCGGCTCTCCCGGCTGACCCGGCGCCCCCAGAGACGCCTCCTAACCGCCTTTACGTTCCGGCCGTGTGTCGACAGGAGACCTTGAGGTGGGGGCATAGTTCACGGCTCGCGGGACACCAAGGCCAGGCTCGTACCCTCCAGTTCCTCCGCCGGGCCCTTTGGTGGCCCTCTATGAGAAAGGACGTGCGTGAATACACCGCTGCATGCGACACTTGCGCCCGGTCTAAGTCCTCCACCCAACCTGGAGCCAGGGAATTGCAACCGCTCCCTGTGCCCAAAAGGCCGTGGTCGCACATAGGTGTGGACTTTGTCACGGGGCTCCCCACTGCCGACCACCTGGACACCATCCTCACCATCACCGACCGCTTTTCGAAAGCTGTGCACTTGGTGGCTCTGGCAGGGCTCCCCACGGCTAAGAAAACAGCGGAGCTCATCCTCGATCATGTGGTGAGGCTCCACGGATTTCCCCAGGACGTGGTGTCTGACAGAGGGCCTCAGTTCATCTCACGTTTCTGGAAGGCTTTCTGTCGGTTGGTGGGCGCTTCCGCCAGTCTGTCGTCAGGCTATCATCCCCAGACTGATGGTCAGACGGAGAGAGCAAACCAGCAGCTTGGGCGTTACTTACGCTGCTTTGCCTCGTCTCAACCGTCCACCTGGCCTCGTTACCTCCTGTGGGTGGAGCTCTCACACAACCTCCAGACGTCCTCCGCCACAGGTCTATCACCCTTCGAGACCTGCTACGGATACCAGCACCCTCTTTTCGACCATCAGGTGCCGGAGGTGGAGGTTCCGGCGGCTCAGGATATGGTCCGCCGCTGCCGTCTCGCTTGGATCAGGGCTCGCGCCGCCATCACCCGGGCTAATACGGAGTACTCCGGACAACATCGTCGCCGCCACCGGCCCGGCCCTGTGTTCCAGCCAGGTGACCGGGTTTGGCTTTCGGCTGGTTCCAGGAAGCTGTCGCCCCGCTTTTTGGGACCCTTCCAAGTCCGAGATGTCCTCGGTCCGGTCGCTTACCGGCTGCGCCTCCCTTCCACTCTTAAGGTGCACCCGGTATTCCACGTCTCACAGCTCAAGCCGGTGGTGTCGTCTCCCCTCCATCCGCCTCCGGCCCGGGTGCCGACGCCCCGAGATGTCGATGGGGACCCCGTTTACACCGTCCGCAAGATTCTGGACGCCCGCCGCCGGGGCCGTGGATGGCAGTATTTGGTGGACTGGCAGGGTTACGGTCCGGAGGAGCGTAGCTGGGAGCCTGCCCGCTTGTTTCTGGATCCTTCCCTGTTGGCTGATTTCTGGTCTCGTGGCCCTGGGCCTTCTGGAGCCGTCCCTCGCGGGGGGGGGGGGGGGGGGGGGGGTTCCTGTCATGAACTCCTCCTCTTAACCTCCTCTGCGGGCCTGGCTGGCACTGCACTCCAGTTCCCAGCATCCCTGTCACCGACGCTTCCCGGTGACATCATCCCGCTGAGCCTATTTAAGGACCTGTCACAGCTGAGCCGGCACTCAGTCATCATCTCACGATAGACGCCAACCTATTCTAAAACGACTAAGCCTAATCTGCCAACTCTAAAGACCATCCGGGAAGAGAACTTCCCACGCTGTAATCAGTCACGACCAAACACCAGTCTCTCCGCGCCTGGGTCTCCAAGCCACACTCCAGCTCAGCCGATCGCACCTGACATTAATCAGCCACTGATTGAAATCAGGTATGTTGAAGCAGGGTTAAAACCAAAATGTGCTGGATGCTGGCCCTTCAGGCCCGGAGCTGAGTAGCCCTGGCCTATAGACAGACACAAGACACTGAGAACACGTTCACCTCTACAAGATATGTGATTCCTCCGTTCATCCAGACCACCGGTGCACAGGAAGTTATCAGTCACAGCCACCTTTGGGTCAGTTGCACTTATACCTGGAGCATTCAGCGCCTTTTGGATGCACAAGTTTCTCTGGGTTGGGCAGCAAAAAATTACAATCAAAGAAACGTCATTGAAATAATGGTTACATAAAAAAAGGAGACACACAAAGGCACACAAAATAACCTCACATCTTCTCCAAGCTTGGCAAAGACCTCTTTTTCAGCTACGAAAGGCTCATGCTTGGTCAGAAAACTGAGCCTTTCGAGTTTATCCTTTAGCAGAAGCTCCTCTGTTATACAAGAAGACAAAACAAATAATCAAGCTTTCTTTTTAACGGTAGGGCCATTAAAGGGCCATTGGGTGGTTGGAAGCCTCATAGATCTAGTTCTAAAATAACTCTTGATCCTTTCTTTCAACAAACCGTTACCAAACTCACATTCTGAACAAAGTCTTAATGTATGCACATTTACAGCTATTAGGTATGAATAGCCACATTTAAATGTACATCATTGCCACACCTTGTTGCTTGCATGTTGATTTGCCAACCAGTTTTAGAGCTTCACTGGTTTCCTGGGTGCAAGGTATGCAAATGGGTCTGCAAAATATGGATTTGAAAGAGGAAAATAAGGGTTGACACTTAAATCTTCAAGTAGAAATATGAATATAATGAGGTTTCTCACACCAACTGCTTCATCTGTTAGATACATCCTCTTACCTTGTTGAAGCAGAGATTGCTACAGCCTCGCTCAATCTGATGATAGCCACATCATAGTCATAAAACTCAGCAACTCCTTCTTTTGCTTTTGCCCTGATGTTATAGTTTGGGTGCCATGTGAAATTTTTTACTTCCTTCACTGTGTAAAAATACAAATAATATTATATACCACAGTTACACAGTTCCATCATCATACTAGTTTATCAGAACATTACATGTTTCATTGTGTATTTTGTTTGCTCCTGCGTTTAATAAAGTTCCAGATGCTACTTTCTACCAACTATAAAGGAAGGCGTTCCAGAGTCAGCCCAGATAGCGGGGTAGCTTTGCTATGCAAAAATAAATGAATAAATAAAAAACACCTCTCTGGGAGCCTTCTCGCTCCAGAGAGAGCCGGCAGCTTCAGTGCGCGTTCTCCCTCCCTGTAGGTCAGAGGTGGGAAGGAGATCCAAGAGCACATTAAATTCTTAAGCCTAGTTCATGCTTCGGCGTCAGCTCCACAAAGGAGAGACGCACGCGCACTGATGGAGATTTTTGTCGTCATCACCCGGGGAGTGTTGCAAAGCAATTCCCTGCAAGGACAACAGGGCGTAGAACTTTTCTGGGGTCGTGTAACCGGTCCAAGTGAACGCATTTACTATTGTGTTTAAGTTGTGTTTATTTGTATTTCAGAGACATTTTAACACAGACAGATTTGTCCCTCATTCTCCTCCACCTCTTCATGCACTCGCCACCTCTAAACCCACGTTTCCTGTCATTTCCATCCACAAACAAAATGCTAGCATCTTTGTACTCCTCCAGTCACGGGGAAATTAAACATTCACATGTAATTTTAGAGTTTTTCTACGAGGTATTCTTCAAGCTGCTTCGTGTTTGCCGCTAGATATCACTCTTTTTATTTTTAGAGGGGCAATGGCAATGCTAATTCCATGCTGTAGTTCTTTTTTAAAACACAGAACAGTTTTGTTACCTGTTTCCCGGTACGTTTCGTTTGCGGCTGCAAACTTCCTCAGGCTGACGCTGATGGTGGCGTCACTTCCTTCTCCGTTTATCCATCAGCATCAGCCTGAGGAAGTTTGCAGCCGCAAACGAAACGTAGCGGGAAAACAGGTAACAAAACTGTTCTGTGTTTTAAAAAAGAACTACAGCATGGAATTAGAAATACGACATAGCAAGAACACACCTAAAATGGCAATGCTGTTGATTAATTGAACCCCCACCAGGAAAGTTGACCATTGAGCAGGGTTGATGTTTTTTTTTTCTTGAGGTCCACGTGTCAGGGGTGAGGTGGGTTAAAGGAAGCGGCATCCTGACCAATCACAAGCTTACGTTCTCCGTTAGACGGATGTTTAGAAAAGTCAGCTTGACTCCGTCCGTCCTTGCGAGCCTGTTGAAGAGCCCTTGCAATGGCAAATGATGGCGTTGCGTGTCTTTGTACCAATGCAGACTCAGAATCCTAACTAGGCTTTAGGAATGGTGTCATTGCCACAGTTCCAAAGGTAGGGGTAAAGCGGGTTTCCCAGCATCTGCCCGCATTCCTTCTGTGTGTGTGAATGCTGCTCGGGCGCCTGATTCACATAAGGAGATTATGGGGCAGGCAGAGAAAATAGTTCCTAGGGATGTCCCAATACAACATTTTCACTTCCGATGCGATACCAATATTGCAGCCTTCAGTGCTGACCGATACTGATGAGGTTGGACTTATTGAACTTTCCTGGTATTGTTTCACCAACTTGTGCATGGCAAATGTTGCACTGAGCCACATTGTCGTTTTTGGACTTTAACAAAAAATACTGCTAAACGGTTGACATTGCTCTTTGCTACTTAGCTAGCACACACTATTCTGATCACGTGGGATTTGAATGATGGATCTCGGCGCTGCTGGATAGAAATGCTGGAACGGATGCGGTCGGATATAATACGATACAGTGTTTCAATAATTGGGTTTAAATTTCTACATATCTTGCAGTAACTAAGGACTAGATATAGACTACAGGGATGAACTATCAAGAAGAATTTAATTTCCTTTACTTGACATCAAAAAGGATTTGAAATTTTTTTTATAACTCCCAGCTGCTTTTTTGCTTTCATTTTTTTTATTAGTAAATTTCGAGCAGAAAATGCTACAAACGACGAGTGAAAAGTGACTTTTTATGAGAATAAGCTGAGACAAAAGGTAGTACCTGTAGTCTCTTGGTGGATTTTTAAGATGTTTCGTACAAAACTAAAGCTATGCTAAACCTTTTGTTTTTGTTTTGCACTTGACTACCATCAACGTCCAGAGTGAACAGCTTTGACCCACATAAGCAATTGGTGTTGTTTCAAGATAACAAAAAATAGTTTTAGTCACCCCTGGGCTAGCAGTTAGCATGTTAATCTGGCCAGCACTATCTACAGCAGGTCAGATATTAACTGTTTATAACATTTCCTCACTCTGAATATATTTTTTCTACAACTATTGAGTGGAAATTGCTGTTTTGAGGTGCTAATGCTACAGTTTGTTTTCTGATAAAATGGAAGTGGTTCAGATTCTGTAAAGAAGGTATAAGTATCAGTCATTACCTCTGCTAGCTGATCCGTCTTCAATTTCAACAACCACATCTTTGGGCTCATCACCAAAAGTGAAGCAGTGAGCAGCAGTCAACACAAAGTCAGGTGACACCAGAGAGCCGAAGCATGTCTTTTTGTTTTGCCCCTTAATTTGCATAAGAGAATATTCACATTAAAGCAAGTCTACAGTTTAACACCCTGAAGCAGTATTATTATTTTGCAGAAACACTTTGAAAGAAAAAAAAAATCTTTCAGCTTTATGGAAAAATATATTTAGCTATAAAAATTGCAAATATGCATGCATACCTTGTTATGTTTCTGGTCATTGGGTTCTGGCCTACTGGTTTTATCAGCTCCCCTTATTCTCGCTGATACTTAAAGTTATAATTCATTAATCTGCTAATTGAGTCCGTTTTGTCTCCTGCAACCACTTCCAATTCGAGATCGCCTTGAGTTAATAAAATAAATGACTCCTTCACCTTGTTAATCACAAATGCCACCCACGGATATCTTCTCAGTCTGCTGTCTTTGTCCTCAGCGGTGTTATACTCTTGGTAAAGACCACACATACCCACGACTTCACTTTCATCTTTGTAAAAAGTCAGAGAGGAAACGATGATCAGGAAAACACGCTGATTATATGTTCAGAAATTAAAATAGCTGTCTCGTTGCTGAAACTAGATTTTATATTTTTTGGGGTGAGCACTTAACATAAAATTTAGTAACACTTCACAGATTCAGGGAGCTGGTTGATCAGTGACGTCAGATCAAGGCTGAAGGTTCTACCTTCACCTTGAGTATTTTAGGAACCTGAGGAACCATGCAGCCTTGTAGTCACGATCATTTACCTCCCTTCCCTTTTAACACACACACAATCAGCGTGCTGTTGTTACAGCCTACCTATTATCTCATCGAAGGTCTCTCCTAAATTGCCGATGTCTTTCATCCGGAAGTAATGCTTGCCGTCTTTTCCTACAGTGAGGGGCTGCAGGTCGTCGTCAAAGATCTGAGCCCCGATACCGAAAACATAAATGTCTGTAAACAAGTGTGGGCAAAGAGGTTAGGGTGATTACTTCTTGACAAAGGGAATACACTCTGCAGTACCAGGACACAAGATGATAAAGCTTTAATATCGTCTGAAGAAGGAACGCTCACCAAGAAAATCCTCTCTGGATCCAGGCTTTACGCCTTGAGCCGCATTCATATAAACAATGTTTTTTATTCTCTCCACTGTGTTTGTGGGGGGGCCGCCCATGTTATAAACACCTGAAGTCAAGGAAGCTGATGTTAATTTATTTTTATGCACTAAATAATATTAGCGTAAATTCTTTAAATGAAAAAGTCAATGAGAAACTAGCACTGACAAAAATCATGTATAACAGAAGGAACAGTTATTAGTGTGACGTTAGTATTACAGCAACTTTCTCAGCTAAATGAATAAAAACACATTTAAAAATATCATATGCCAAAATATTAGTTGTTGGATGGAAAACATCCCTCTGTGATGCTTTTGAAACAATGACTTTTGAAGATTTTAGTTTTAAGCAAAGCTGTAAATTTGCGCGAGTTACAACACTAAGTCAGAAATGCTTTCTCAGAAGAGATCCACTTCCATGCTGTTCCTTCATTTCAGAGACTATTGACTATTTAACAAGTAAACATTCTTCAAATATGTGTCCATCCATCCATTTTCTTCCGCTTATCCGGAGTCTGTGGCAGCCTAAGTCGAGAGGCCCAGACTTCCCTCTCCTCAGCCACTTGGGCCAGCTCTTCCAGCGGAATCCCAAGGCGTTCCCTGGCCAGGCAAGAGACATATGGCGCTTACACTTTAGCGTTGGTTCAGTCCCTTATGGGACCGGAATTTGGTTTCACACACAGGTCCGATTAGCGTTTTCGGTTCTGAGGCGACTTTTCTTCATACCTCCTCCGAGGTGACACTACGGACAGATTGGCTGGCTGAAATTACACGTACCACCTCTTTGCCTTCTGGCTCAGCTCTCTTTTTACATGACAGATCGGTACAACGCCCGCATCACCGCAGATGCAGCACCAATCCGCTTATCAGTCTTACGCCCCAGCTTTACCTCACTCGTGAACAAGACTCTGAGATACTTAAACTCCTACACTTGGGGCAGGACCTCGCCCCCGACCTGCAGGCGTTCTATTCTTTTCTGACTAAAGACCACGATCTCAGATTTAGAGGAACTGAATCTCAAACCAGCTGCTTCACACTCGGCTGCAAACCGCTCCAATGTAAGCTGGAGATCACCTTCTGATGAAGCCAACAGGACCACATCATCTGCAAAAAGCAGAGACCTGATCCTCAAGCCACCAAAACAGATCCCCTGAACATCTTGGCTGCGCCTGCCCATAAAAGTTATGAGAAGACTCGGTGACAAAGGGCAGCCTTGGCAGAGTCCAACTCTCACTGGGAACGACCCGTCAATGCAGACCAAGCTCTGACACCGGTCATACAGGGACGTAACACCCCGTATCAGAGGGCCTGGTAGCCCATACTCCCAAAATACCCCCCCCCCCCCCCCCCCCCCCCCAAAAAAGTGCCCCCGAGGTCGAACAGCTTCTCCAGATCTACAAAACCCATGTCGATCGGTTGGGCAAACTCCTGCGCACCCTCCCTAAGGGTATAGAGCTGGTCCAGTGTTCCACGGCCAGGACAAAAACCAAATTACTCCTCCTGAACTTGAGGTTCGACAATCCACTGTACCCACTTCTCCAGAACCCCTGAAAAGACTTCACCAGACTAATTCTCATCAAAATGAACAATTAATGAAGGGAGAGCACAATTAATAATCTACTCTTAATTTATTTACTTTACTGCTGCTTCTTCTGACTCAGGAAACTGTGTTTTGTGTTTATTTTGTTGTTGTTAATGCTTTTTATTTTAGTTTATTTATTTATTTTTGTGTTTTTGCATGTTTTTTACCACACTGTTCTTGTAAATCTTGGACCTAAAGTTTTTCAGGGGAGGCCTCCGATAAGCTGCTTTGAATTTTGCCCCCTCCTGCACAGTATTTTAATTTTTTTTTGTATTGTTAATTGTGAATACTTCATTTTCTGCCAATAAGCATAAACACTCTCTGAACTCACCGACACACAGTCACGTGGTTAATGTAGCCCTGAATAGTTCCAAACAGCTCAGCGCTGCCAGTGAATACGAGTGGCTTCTGGCAGCACAGAGCAATAAAACGACCATTTTGTCATTTCCACAGTGATTCTTGGGTGACTATTGACAAATGTTGTGCATTGTACTACACTGATTATGTATTTTATACAGGAGTAGCAGGAACAGTTATCAGTTTTAAGTTTTAGAGGAAGCCAGGCTGCAAACAGAACGTAGAACACGCTTAGGGTGCCAATCATATTTAGCAAAAATAAGTATAATTCAATGTGATTTATAATGACGTTATCCACATGATTAAAACCAAAGTAGAGTAATAAACCAGTCTGAGAGCTTTCTGTTGTTCTCTGTATGCTAGCATAGGGATGCTAGACTTTTTGTACCAATAGACTTAAAGATGTCAGTGGTTCAGAGTTCTGCACCTGCTTACCTTCAGATCTACTTCCTTTGACAAAGAATGCAATGTTACTGTTTCCTAAATGTACTCCTACAATCTTCAGTCTGTTTTGTCTCTGCCCGGTGTCAGATGGAAAAAGAACCGAATGGCACAGCTGATCTAAATTTGTTTAAAGTGACAATGTGTAGTTTTTCATTCTTAATCTCTGGAAATGTCCATCAAAATGTTGTTGAAAATGAATTAAAGGATGCCAAGTTGTTGAAAATTACTGGCAGCGTCGTAACATTTAACAAATGAAATTCCACCTCTATAGCAGCATGTTTTTGTTATTTTCTGAGTTCATGAAAATTGATGTTCTTTTATTGCTGTTTGTTTAAAATGTATAAGTTACCATCCGTAAACATGATCAGAGTGTGGCGATACTCCTTAAAAACTTCAGGTCCAACTTGCTCCTTTCTAAAAGACATCCGATCTTCAAACGTTTTAAAAGCGAGATTTAGATCAGTTCCAGTGTTTCTGTCTTTAAATGAAAACACACACACACACACACACACACACACACACACACACACACACACACACACACACACACACACACACATTAAACACCAATATCCAGGTCTTTCTTCACAAATTATGTTATATGTTTATTTCCATGACTTACCGCCTATTTCAAATGCTCTTAAATCCTTCATGACATGCTTCAGTTTATCTTCCTTGTTGTCATCATAAAAGTCAAGAATATTGACAACTTCATAAACTTCAGAGGAGAAGAAGATGATTTCGTAGTTTGGTGACACACTGAATCTGGAAATCTGTGGATACAAATCTCAGATTAGGTGGCTGATCTTGTATATTTTCGTGCATTTTAGTAAACGCAAATTTGTGGAATTGCAATAAAATATTTTAATGCAACACACTTTAGATCACCTATGGTTGTAAATTTGTCAGATGACTGATTCGTTGATCAGCAGAAGTGTGGTTTGGCACCACCAGCCAAAGACTTCCACCAAGAAAACTCAGTCAAGATTATGATTTGTAATTCATTATGAAATTAACTTCTAAGGGGCTGTTGTTTAAGACATATTGTGTTCAGATTATCCACAGTGAGTCAAAAGTGTGTCAAGATGTTGAGTGCAGGTGAGTGATCTCTCAAAGACAAGGACGTTTTTAAGAAAGTCAGAACTAGGAATGAGCAGACAAAGCAGGGAAAAACACCAGACGTAGCACCATAAACATCACAGGACAAACAGGGTTTAAATATGATGGTATGAAAAAACAGGTGAGTAGGGCACCGAGGGGTAGGTGAGACTAATTAATACTGACGAGACACAATAACGGGCAGAGAAGTACATCCTGACAGGGTGGTGGCAGATTGTGGACTCTCTCCCGATGTCGTGGACCGAAGGGGGCAACGTGCCAGCCTGGGGCAGAGGAAGTGGTACTTGTCCCCGTTGATGTCAGACTAATCCAGCCAACGGGACTGTGGGTTGAACCACATGAGCAGATTCTTTGCTGAAACAGTCTTTGGCGAAGAAGGATGAATTGGTGCACCGTCGCGTAAACCTCTTATGCTCCTTTGACTGGAGCACCAGGAACTCCCAGCTGGTTTGTTCTGCTTCGATTTGGTTGTGCATCAGATCCAAATGCAGGTAAGACATCTCTCAAAGGCAGCCCACAGGGATGGGAATAACAGCGTATAAAACAACGGCGTTACTAATGCCAGTTAGTTTTATCAGTAACATGTAATCTAACTATTACCTACTTCTTTTGTCATAACGCCGTTTCCGTTACTGATAAGAAAATGCGTGTTTTAGGATATTTCAGCAGTGAGGTGTGTTGAAGCTGTCATCATGTGACAGGGAGCTAAAGAGACAGATGTTTACATCCAAGTGCATTACGACCAGTGAGGAACAAGAAAGATGTGAGTATGGCTGCAGACCCTGAGACCTGCAGATTCGCTGCTGCAGGCGGGAATCTGCTCTGTGGTCTACAGCCGTACCCGCCCAGAACACATTGTGTTTGGGGCAGCTGTAACTCAGGAGGTAGAGCGGGTTTTCCTCATGATCGGAGGGTCATGGGTTTGATTCCAGCTCCCACCAGGGGTATTCTGCTGTAGTGTTCTTGGGCAAGACACTTGACCCAATTTGCCTGTGTTGGTGGTGGTCAGAGGGGCCGACGGCACCAAATGGCAGCCTCGCCTCTGTCAGACCACCCCAGGGCGGCTGTGGCTACGTAGTAGCTTACCATCACTAGCAGTGTGTGAATGTGAAAGTGCATGAAAGCATCTTTGAGTGTCCTAAAAAGTGCTTTATAAGTTTGATGTATTATTATTATTATTATTACATTGTGACATTACATCATGATTTATGTTTAGATATTGTAAAGTACGCTACTAGTAGTAGTGGTTTTACCATTAGGCTTAGGTCGGCGGCCGCCTGAGGCTCCCTTATGTTGGGGGGGCCCCCAGCCCTGACTACTGGCACCCCTCTGTTAATGCCACAATGGACTATTCCTTTAAGACGCCAATGCACAAACAGGAAGTGATTGGTAGTCATTCTACTCAAATCCAGTTGGTGGCAGTAATGCACCAAACTGTTGTTTGCCAAGTGCCATAAGACCACAAAGAAGAAGAAGAAGAGAAAGCAGAAAAAGAAGAAGAGAGGCAGGTTTGTAACAATTTCGAAGCGGTAGTGAAAACATTTAGCATGAAAATGGAGTTATCCTAGTGGCTCCAATAAGAGAAAGAAGCAGCTTACTTTAAGAATGCTTTAAAAAGCTTTAAAAAAGCTTTTATCTTCACTTCCAAACGTGACATCGTTTTTCTTTGTAAACATCAAAAGGAAGCAGAAAAGGAAAGACAATGGAAAATGTTTAAAGGGTGGAAAACATAGACCAAAATGTAAAAAGAAGAAAAAAAAGAAAGGCAAAAGCACATGAGCACTGACAGAAAGAAGAAAGCAGAACAGATATCAAAGGCACTCAAGGGAGAAAAAGACAGGAAAAAAGAGGACTAATAAAAAGTAAAAATAACTCATGTCAGAAGAGGGTAGAGTTTCGCAAATCCAGTTAAAGATAAGATTGTCGAAAATTTAGTCCAAGGGGGCCCCATGTCTGTGTTCACCTTGGGCCCCCAAATTGCTAAATCCACCACTGGCTACTACAGTTAGGAATTAAGGATGTTTTTGTTGAGGTGAGCTGAATTGAACTGAATAAACACAGAGCCTATAACAGATTGTGAATGAAAAACAAACCAAACCGTGGGTTGACTGTGTTATTGCAACAAAAGAAAAGGTAAGAAATGAAATCAGAAGCTTTTTATTACCTTGTTGATGAGTGTTATGACAGCATTTCTTGCTTGTTCAAACTCTTCCTTTAAAATACTCTCAGAAATGTCCACACCAATGTAGATGTTGAGTATTCCTGCTTTAGAAATCCTAATCTTACGTCCTTCTTGTGTATCATCTGAGTCACAACAAAACCTGTTATTGAGCCACTGGAAGCATTTAAGACACACCATATTTCATTAGATATTCTTTATCTTTAGATAGTGTAACTAGAGCAAAAATTTCAAACAGTTTTCTAAAGTTGCTTTGTTTGTTAATGGCGCGTTATTATATGGTATTAGTTTTATTAATAGAATTAGGAGCAGACACTTACTTAGAGACTCCAGAGTAGTGAGGCTGTCTTTGATTGCACTTCCGAATGCCTCTGACACCTCCTGTGGAGTGTCGTAGGTGTGTTTGTCTGCAATTAAACCTCTGTCAAAAATGCTTATTTGTGACATTTAACAACATTCTTAGGGATAATAATCCAGATAATTCAAAATATTCACCATCGCCAGCATGCTAGAATGTATATTTACAATCTGCTCTCTATACACTCATCACACACTCGTGGATTTAGCAACAGAACACCACTGGTGTGAGGTTTGTGGCTGAATAACAACAGAGAAGGAGAAACAGCTGGCTGCTACCACTTCCACTTTAGGACAAATCAGAGTCCCAAAAAGAAAAACACCATTTGAAGTCACAGACAGCAAAAGACATCGGGACCCTGAAAGCAGAGACTGGTGTTTAGCTCTATCTTGTTTCCTCCAGCATCGCGGGTCTCTGGCTCTGGCAGAAGCGTCAGGGAAGATACTCGAGGGGAGGGGTGAGTTCTCAAAACCTAGCTTGTTCTGTAAATTTGCTAAAGCAGCTTTAAGAGACATGAAAAACATGTTTTAAATGGATACTTAGCCACTGTGTCTTATTTTTAAATGATTTACTTGAGCCAGTATGTGCTAAAATGAACCTTTACAGGGTTAATGAAAAGCTACCCATCCCCTATCGACCCTTGTGGCCAGAATATTCCAATCGCAACTTCAGAGTTTTCACTTTTCCTGTATGTTTTAGATCATGAACTCAGCTGATTTAATTTAATGATGAATCCCTTCTGTAGTCACTAAGTAAGGCTGGGAAGATGTTCCAGTTGTTAAAAAGATGAATGCACAGTGAGGTTTTGCTTTTGGTTCTACAAACGGACACTAGGAGGTGCTAAAAGCAAGTCAAAACTGCCTCGTCTCCCATTAAGCTAATTCATTTTCCAAATTTGCTATAGCAGCTTTAAAATTGGAGTGACCAATCACTTTGAAAAGTAACACATAAAAAATAGTTTCTCTGTGAAGGATCTCTGTAATAGCATACCAAATGATAATCTGTGTGTCTGTCTTACAGTAACACGCTGGCTCTTTGCCCGTCCACTGGCCGTTCTCTTGGCACACTCTTTCACTGGAGCCCACCAGAAACATGTTGTCACTGCAGGTATATTTCACTCTGTCATCAATATCAAATCCATTTCCTGTTCTTGATGCACCAGGTGGGATCCCAGGATCTGGACAAGCTTCTCCAGCTGCAGAAAGTAATATAAAATACAACAATTAGTCAAAAAAACAGCAACAATTCATATTTGGGTTGCTTTCTAAACATATGTGGGAACAAATGATAATGATCTTTTCAATAAATACCTAAAAATCAGTGAAAATGACAGAAAACAGCAGTTTTGTACACCACAACTCCTTATGCTGATTTGCAAAGTACCCAGGGCTGAAAAACAATCACAGAAACAAACCCAAAACATTCCTTATGTTACTTACAGTCATAGCTGCAGATGGGAGTGGAACCGTTCCACTTCCCGTTTGGTAAACAGATCCGGCTGGATGAGCCTCGCATCGTGTATCCAGAGTCACACATGTATGTCGTCTCATCTCCAACAAAGTAATTGTCCTGAGGAGGGGAGACATTTCCATTCTGCAGCACAAATGGGTCTGGACATGTCACACCTGGAAAATGAAACAAATGGGATTAAAAGGGGTTAGGTTTGTTCTTGGCGGCACTCAGATTGGAAACATAACCTTGTTTTACTTTCCTACTCACGTTTGCAGGTCTGTGGTATGCTTCTTTTGGGTGCAGGTTTCCAGGTTCCATCAGCCTGACACACCCGGGTCAATTCGGGGTATGGATATTGTCCTTCAGAGCAGTGGTAGACCAGCCGGCTGTCTTTCTCCAGGTTCCTCGTCAATGTATAATTACCACCAATAATGTCAATGCTTGTCTTGGTGCAAGTACAATGCACTTCAACCCCTGAAAACATCCCATATCTGATTTTAGTAAACCACTCAAGATATTTCTCAGTTGTTATTCAGAGCCTGATCTCCAAGTGCATCTGACCTATTCCACTGGCAACATGCTCAAAACCTTCTAGCCCTGAACTTTGAATTCCCAATGCCAAATTGTCTGGAGTAGCAGAGGCCAGAAAATAATCCTTGGATTTTGTTTCTAATCCGTCTTTTAGTTATGCAGTGAAATATTAAGATTGTTCACACTTGTTGATTAAAAACTTGATCAATCTTAACATATGCAAATTGCATACTTGTTCAAATAAAAAAGAACATTATGAATTTAAATTTTTTTTGAGATGTAAAGTTTCTCACCCAGACAGAGGAGACATAAGAGAGCAGCGAACCAGTCCCAAGAGCTTGTCATGTTTAACCTAAAAGATGAAACAGGTTGAAAATGAGATAAAACTGTAGGAGGAGGAACTTTATGTCAGAGAGGGACTGTGATGTCCAGAAAGGAGGACAGGACAAAGACCTTTCTGTTATTAATTAACTTCATACGATGGGATCAATATCTATGTGTCCCAAAAATGCCAAATTTGGGGTAACCTGGTTATAAATTTTGTCTAAAGATGAAAATTTCACTTTCCTTTTAAGGAAAAACTAGAACTAATTTTTGAACTGGAAAGGATTTAAAATGTTCCACTTTGGTCCAGATACTTGTTGACTCTTGTTAATCTAATGTTTTCGTCTGTGTGCTTAAACAGTCACATGTATGGTGCTAAGACAAGGCCAGAAGGTTTGGGTAATTGAATAAAAAGTTTGAAACTGAAAAGGTTTATGGAAATTTTTGAATGCACAATTTGAAAAAAAAAAAACATATTCAAACTAAAAATAAGTAAAAGTATAAAAATTTCTATAAAATGGCAGTGTATAGTTTTCTGCCACCAGGGGGCAGTACATACATACATTTCAGGGTAGTTTTGCACCATAATGCCTTGACTGTCATTATTCAAAAAACATTAAAGCAAATGTTGTTACCTGTGGAGAAGAACGCATGCAACCTCAGTGTGACTCCTCAGACTTTGATGTTCCTTCAGTAAATTCCATCAATAGAACACAATGCTGATTGTAGTTTTCTGGGGCTGTAGTTTCCGGATCTGCTCGGGGTCCTGCGCCTGGCGATGACGCCATCATACTACAGCAACACCACTCGGCCAAAATGTATTGCTTTTATTTTCGATTTTGTTCTTTAACATGGATTTTGGAATACGTTTAGCAGTTTTGTCATTAAATTTGTTTTTCTTACAAAACGTTTTTAAACGTGGTAACGTAACTTCTGTAAATTGTACATCCAGCCAATCATATAGTGTGATGTCGTTGACAGGCACTGGACCTCGAGTCAGCCAGAAGGAAACATGGCTTCTAATGTGGCTTTCCCCAAAGACACTATAGGCTAGACCCATGCCTCATGGGACAGAAGTAGCTCAGGAGGTAGAGTGGGTTGTCCAGTAATCGGAAGGTTGCAGGTTCATTCCCGGCTCCGACCAGAGAATTCTGCTGTTTCGTCCTTGGTCAAGACACTTTACCCGCCTTGACTGCTGGTGGTGGTGGGGGTCCTCGCTTGGCTGCCTCGCCTCTGTCAGTTCGCCCCAGGGCAGCTGTAGCTACATCGTAGCTCATCCCCACCAGTGTGTGAATGTGCGTGTGAATGGGTGAAGGACTGATTGTGTTGTGAAGCGCCTTGGGGGGTAGAAGAACCCTAAGAAGGCGCTACACAAATACAGGCCATTTGTCATTTACCATTTATGGACTTTAGACCCGATTTTCATGGTTATATGTCACAAATATTTTTCAGCAGCTGGTTATCAATTTATTTCTTTTCAACAACTTTTCGATGGATAGTTCCAGAGATTAATGGTAAAAACTACATATTGTCTCTTAATTTAAACTTTTTTATTATGAATGTTTTTGTTTGTTTCAGTTTTTATGTTATTTGATCAAAAGCTTTCTTTATTTTTACTTTTTTGAAATTCAAACTTGTTCAGTTTTAGACACATTTGACAGCCCACAGCAGGGCGGGTGGATTCGCTCCTTTCATGTTGCATTTAGAAACCGAGGGAACTTTAACAACTTAGAAGCATGCACATGTATTTGCCTGTTTGGTAGAATCTGGTTTTGTAAGACGTCCTAGCTTCGACTGTCACCAGGAACAGTTCAAGATCCTTTTTATGTGTAAAACTGAGAACAGTCATAATTGAAAAGATGAAATTTCCTCATACTCAGCTGAGCTAAAGAGGTATTTCTGAGCCAAAAATTATGTTTAGGATATAGAAAAACTCCATCAACCTGAAACAGGACTTGAGACATATTCATGAATATTCATTGTAGGACTGCTGCGAGATCACAAGTACACAATAAGTTGAACACAATTTTGCTATTTTTTAAAGTAAAACTTATTTTGCTCATATTGGCAGTGTTTTTACCTCCATACTGACCTTTGGTAGCTGTTTCATTGATGTTTTTCTACACCTGATCCGGTTAATGAGTGGACTTAAATATTTGTCATTTACAGGAACTAGTGCCTGTTATATAATTTATTTAGGCAAGTTTAGACTTGTGCAAGGCTGATCTGTGGTGCCACTGTCTGTTACTGTTGCCTTGCATCAAGAAGGTTCTGGGTTCAACTCCTGGCTGGGACCACTGACCAAAAACAGGTTGATTGGTGTGATAACTTCTCAATAAAGTAGGAAAATCACTCATTTTTGTTTGAACTCTGGTTAAAAACTCTCGTTAGCACACCGGTCCTCCCTCACCTCTAGTGAGTGGTAATGCAAGTCACCAACAAGAATATTACTGAGCCAACATACGTATCATAATCGGTAGGTCTAATTTGTCTCAAGGTGTGTTTGTCTCAATGTGGACCTGTTAAGGACTGGTGACTTGTCCAGGATGTAACCCAGCCCATAGCGGGACTTTTTTCTGCAATTATAAATTTTTTCCACTGACAGATTTTGTCACTTCTAGAGGTGGAAACTGCAGCATATTTGAGTTTGTAAAGTATCTGATGGTTTATAGTGTTCCTCAGTGTTATTTTTTTTACAAGTTTGATGTCCTTATTTTAACATAAAACTGTTCTGTTTTAGCGTAGAAATCTAAACAGGCCATAGCAGCAGCAAAAAGATTTTGTCCTTCAGGTCAGTGTTGCAGTGCTCCATAGAAGCCTCAGCAGGTCTACCGTTGGCCTGAGCAGTTTTGTATTATGCCAATCACAGCACCCTACTGGTTTTCTTGGCCAGTTACAACGCTCTATTGGTTTAGTGGGCAGGATGATGTGATGGAGCGGAACAACTAAGACGGCGGTGGCGTGTTTGAAACAGCTTTTGAATCAACTTTGGACTATTAAGACTATTTTTCTTCGAGTCAAGAGCAGATAGAGGTACTTAAGTCCTTTATTTAGAAAAAGGACTTTTTTGTGTCTTCTTCAACAGTGTATGGCAGACTGCCTCGTTGGCCGTCATCCATAGCGGTGAGTAACTCACATTGTTTGTTGTCCAATTGCATGTACAGTTTGAAAGACAACCACCTCTCGACTGAGATCTGTCTATGGGTCGTGGCCAGACTATTTATATACATTTATAGGATGGCTCACCTGGCTAATTTAGTTTAGTTTAGTTTCAGCTCTAGATCACAACAAATTCTCTCAAAGCACTTTGCAAAGAAAATGAACAACTCCAAATCATTTCAGCACTGTGTAATGTCACGAAATGGCCTGATTTTGAGATCCCACAGGTCAAATTCACAGCCAGGTCAGCTTACCCCTGTCGTGTGTTGGGGTAAGTGTCTAACCCAAGACATACAGAATCAGACTCGGAGGCAAGGTAAAAGGTAAACAACAATTTTATTAAATGATGAGGAGAACTGAGGGCGCACTGGTGATCCAGCGGAAGGTGAAAACAGGAAGCGGCAACTAGAGGAAAACCAGAGGTGAGTACTGGGATTTGTAGTCCAAAGCGAATGTTTGTAGGCAGAACTTACGATGCGGAAGTTCAGGATGAATGTGGAGGGAAGATGAGCCGGGGTGATATCCAGAGGAGAATTGTAGCAATCCAGGTGGGTGAGTGGAATGGATGAGGATGATGATTTCGAGGAAACGGAGAGGGAGCGAGATCACGGTGGAGAGTGGGACGGCAGAGAGGAGTAGGAGTCCAGGCAGCGAACCGGTGAATAATCCTTTCTCTCCAAGACGGGTGAGGATCCAGAGGTGAAGCAAGTCAGAGGGTAAGTATCCAAGAAAACGAGTTCGAGTTAAACAGGTTCAAAAAATCTTACAAAGTCAAAAACGAGGTTCAAAGTCACGAAGGGCTAGAAACTACCAGTCAGTAGTTAATCATCCGGCGTCGAGTCAGGATAACCGTCCTCCTTTTAAAGCCGCCCCGCTGATCAGGCTGATGAAGATCAGCTGCGCTCCCTCTCCTCCAGGCAAAAACTCATAGATGGTGAGATGATGGGCAGAGTACTCACCCCGGCTCATGACAACCCCTGGCTATGACAACCTACAATCTTTTCCCCTCACAGGAGTCTGCACGTAATCCCTTTAATCAGAGCCTACTTCCTTACATCAGCTGGACTGCAGCTCTGAGAGATAATAATAAAATAAACAATAACAGTCTTTCCTCCAAGGTCCTTCACAGAGAAACTTTTTAAATAAACTTCTTTATTCCAAGAAGAAAGAAGATTTTATAATTAAAAATAATCATTGAATGAACTTTTGTTATTGATAATTATAAATAATGAAATGTTTCATTAATCTGTGCTCGATGATTGTTTTAGTATGTTTACTTGACGAGGTCATAACATTTGCACTCAAAAGTAAAGTTAAGTTAAAAACGCACGACACACAAGTTAACCTTTTGCCCAGATTCAGAGTCTCCATCACAGAGGTTGCGATGCTTGGTAATATCTTCAAACTTGTCAGCCTGTGGTTGGTTAGTCAATCATAACATCAATCCTTTAAAACTGGCCAGCTCTGGTTTTTCCTACAGTTCAACAGTTTGAGGGTTCCAGAGAAAAGCTTCAGACCGGCCATCTGAGCGAAAGCCTCTTTAACCAGAAGGATTTTGACACGTTGTCAAAATCTTAAACCTTTTTTGCACCTGCGAAGCTGAGACAACAAGATAGTTTCCTGCAGAACAAAGCTGACTCAAAACTCCTTCAGAGTTATTTTTTAGACGCTCGGTTTCATCTATCGTTGTGACCCGGAGACATCTGAGGACTGATTTGGTCGCATCGAGGTTTCTCTACGAACCAGGTGCAGTGGGGGTCGTCGGCTCCTGGACATCTCGGATCCAAACGGGGTCTCCAAACGGGTGAGGTAGAGCACAGCGAGATAGCGTCTGTATGTGGTTCTGATAATAGCATCTTTATAGCTTATTTGCAAACCAAATTCTTTCCATCCAGAACTCCGATTTCTGCGATACGGAGACTCTGAATACATTATATTCACGTTTAAGT